GATGACCATCCAGTAAGTTTTTCTTTTAATCTATCTTTAATGTAGCCCAAGAGCTCAACCTTAGACCCGCTGAAGCATTCTGGCAAGCGGAGGTAAGACCCTGACCCTCCTTCAGTAAATATGCCCATAATGTTCTGTAGCTCGACTTTAACAATCAGATCCACTCTTGAACCAAAAGTAATGGCTGACTTACTTAGGTTAACCGATTGACCAGTCACTGTACCATACTCATTGAGAATCCGTTGAAGAACTTGACATTGCTCCTTTGAGGCTTTACACATAAAAAGACTATCGTCTGCAAAAAGGAGGTGATGAATCTCCGGTCCATCATCACTAAACTTTATACCTTGAAGAATTTCTCTCCTTTGAGCAACATTCAGCATGTTAGTCAGCCCTTCAGTACAGAGAACAAACAGAAAAGAAGACAAAGGATCTCCCTGACGAATCCCTCTCTGCGGTGAAATCAGGCCAAAAGGATGATCATTGATCAAAACCGAGTAAGTCACCGAGGAGACACAAACCATGATCCAATCAGTCTAAGTTTTGTGAAACCCCAAAGCGAGAAGTAAAGATCTCAGATAGCTCCACTCTACCCTATCGTAAGCTTTAGACATGTCCGACTTGACGGCCATAAATTCTGAGGAGATGGAAGGGTGAGTCCTCAAGCTATGAACCAGCTCATGCGCGACCAAAATATTATCTGTTATCAATTTTTCAGAGACAAAAGCTGACTGATTAACAGATACAATTTGAGGCAGAATTGGCTGCAATCTCCTTACCAGTACCTTGGAAACAATCTTGTACAGAACAGAGCAGAGGCTTATAGGTCTTAACTCAGTCATCTCCGTAGGATGATGGATCTTTGGAATTAAACACAAGTGTGTATAATTCCACTCCGGAGGAAAGGAGCCATGCATAAAGAAACCCTGAATCTCCTTGGTCACCTGATCACCAACAATATACCAATATTGTTGGAAAATGAGAGCAGACATTCCATCTGCCCCGGGGGCACTTGAAGCTTTTAAAGAGAAAGCAGTCTCTCTAATTTCCTCCTTTGAAACACTAGCAATAAGCCTCCCATTCATCTCATTAGTCACCTTAGGTAATAAGCCTTCAAACCAACCATCAAAGCTAGGAGGATTGGAGGACTTAAACAGATTCTCAAAATAGGCAGTTGCAACCTCTCCTTTAGCAGCTTCAGAGAACTGTAAAACACCATTAGCATCTTTCACTTTCTCAATTCTTTTCCTAGACCTGTTACCTTTGACTGAAGCATGAAAATACTTTGAGTTTCGGTTACCACTCCTTAACCATTTCTGCCTGCTTTTTTGTTTCCAGTAAGACTCTTCCTCCCGATAAGCTTCAGCCAAATCTTTTTTTTAATCTAAAGAGCCAATTACGATCAGGCCATCTCTCAGACTGAAGCTTCTCTAACGCTGCCTCCAGCGTTTTGATCTTATCGTGCGAATTCAAGTTATTGTTTCTCTTCCAAGCACTCAGCGATTTTCTATAGCACCGCAATCTCTGAGCAACCTTAAAAAACTGACTATCACCTGCAGATTTCCAAGCCTTGAAAATAGCATCTTTAACACCCGGTTTATGAAGAAACCTTTTATCAAACCGGAACTGACCTCGATAAGAGTCTTGAGATGCCAAAAGACTAACAAAGACGGGCCTTTGGTCTGATCCTCTCATGTCTAAGAATGCTTGATTAGACACTGGAAACTGTTCAAACCAAGCCTTGTTACCAAAAGCTCTATCCAGTCTACACTGAATCCAATGCTCTCCTCTTCTTCTCGCCCAAGTAAATTTATTACCAGAACTAGGCAATTCCATCATGTTACATGCACCCAACATTTCAGAGAAGGGTTTGAAGCAGGAATCACTTCTTCTAGGACCCCAATCTTTTCTCTATTATGCAAAATCGCATTAAAGTCTCCAATCATGCACCATCTCTCTCTTCGACCTACACCAAACCGACTGATTCTTTCCCACACATTGCTTCTTTTACTTGAATCCGGGTCACCATAAACACAAGATAAGAAAAAATTGGAGGCTCCAAACTGTACTTGAACATCCAACAGATTCTTGTCAAAACACAGAAAATCTAACTTGATACTGGATTTCCAAAAGAGAACCAATCCTCCACACTTCCCAATAGGCTCCACCGTATGTACTCTATCATAACCTAACCACTCCTGCATATCTACAAGAACATCCCTTCCATGCATCGTCTCCATAAGGAACAACATCTCAGGAAAATGTTTCTTACGCATTTCCTCGAGACGAGGAATCGCCAAGTCTTGAGACCGTCCCAATACTTGACAATTCCAACTCATTATGCTCATTAAACATTGGGCGATCCCCCCTTTGGGATCACCAAATTTGCCTTAAGCTTGGAGACTTTTGAAGAGGACTGTGACTCTACCACAGACTTTCTCTTAACCAACACACCCGAGCTCAGCCCTTCTTTGATGTTTACAGCTTCTATAGGCGTCTTTGAAGCTGCTTGCTTTAGTTTTCTAGTGATCTTGCTAGGTCTTTTTCTTTGTTTAGCCTTCTTTTGAATATTCCCGGAAGAATTAGCTCCAACGGAGCCAATTCTATACACCGTAGAAATATCTTGAGAAGGCTGAGACAAACATAAGAATTCCATAGGAGAATCCGTAGGACTAGAATCATCATTAGCCATAAGGTTAAGATCACCAATTCTCATTCGACTTGAATCTCCATACTGTAGCATCTTACCAGAGGATAGCATAGAAGGCAAACCAGACCCACCTCCATCTTCATAACTAAAGACAATGCCTTTAGGACAAGTAGAAGGCTTAATCACCAATGGAGGAGGTTCCAACTGCAGATACGATTTGGCCATAACCGGATCTTTCTCCACTTCCATTAACGACTTCTTGATCCTATCAATCCGAATCAGTTTCTCATCCTCATCAGACACATTCAAGTATTGGCGCATTCCTTCTAAAACCTCAGGAGCAATTTTCGGTCTTCCAGTCAAAGGGTTGATACCAACTTGACTTTCTTCAAGAATCCCAAACAGGACATCAGATTCCTTGAGGAAAGGAAGTTTAACCTCTTTTGCAACCGTCTTACCCTTTTTTCTAGCATCAGCCTGCTCTTGAATCTTCTTCAGGAAAATCGGACAAGCCTCCCTTTCATGAGTGAGTCGTTGACATTCATAGCATCTCTTTTGAACTCTCTCATACTCAAAATGCACTTTTGTAGTCTCACCATGAGGAAGATTAACGACTTTAGCTCTTCGGAGGGGGCGAGAAACATCAAAGAGGACCAACACTCTCACGTACTCAAGAATCTGGGGTTTATCTAGATCAAATTCAACCACTTTAACCTGTCCGATGAGGTCAGTGAGAGCTGTGATGGCCAGAGTCGTGTAGAAATTTATGGGAAGTCTCCAAATTTGGACCCAAATCGGAACAAACAGTAGGTAGTTATCCGGTGGGTGCTCTACCCATCTCTCAACAGCAAGAGCCCATTCATTATAGGTGTGAAGACCTTTCTCCAGGACATCCTCTAAATCATACTTCGAGTTGAAGATGAACTGAAACCTCTCCGAAGAGAGCGCAATACCATGGACCTTACCCTTCTTTTGCCACTTCCGTGGCATATCTCGAATGAGATGCTTCATGACCTGACAGTCGGGATTCAACAGTCTTCCCACAAGGCTGAGAGTATTTCGTTCGCAGGATGAGAATTCTGGAAGCGCTGGCATGTCAAAAGGTATATCTTCTTCATCCAAAGACATCGCCATCATCGCTTTATCCATCGCAGAAGACATTGAAAGAGAAAATAGCAACAATTCCGAAGAACACCAAAGAGAAATCGAGAAAAAACTTAAAATTTCAGACAGATCTGAGAAAAAGAGGCTGCACAGAAGCTTAAACAGGTTGATTAGGTTAAAGGGAAAGTGTTTTTTCCAGTCAAAGCTCTATAACCTAACAAGGCAAAGACTCTTGTTGGAAAAGAGGATACTAAGCCCAAAAAAAGGAATCGAGTTTTTTTGAGTCATGTAAAAGAAAAAAAAAAAAAAATCTGAAACTTTTAGAAAGCTCTTTATGTATTATTTCAATTTACGTTTCTTCCAAAAAATGCATGTAACTACCAACCAAACTCCTATATCAAAACGTTATTTTTTTCAAAGAAAAATAAAATGTACAGTACGAAGTTGCTGAAAATTTCTTTTCTCTATATATTGATTATTGGAGAAAGTAAATTAAAGCATTTGCCAAATTTGAATATGGTGTTCTCGAGTCAATATAGTAATACAGCTGCCAAAAGAAATGTTAATTTGGGAACATGGTAATAAAAGCAAAACCAAGATAACTAAAGTAACATATGTTTTATAAACTTTTGGCCAACAGATTTCGTGTACCATTAGGTAATCGTTTGGGAGGTTAAGATTATATATTTTGTATTTCCTGTTTTGCCAAGAAGACATATATATATATGCATGGCATTAATCTTGAAGACGACTTAACAACTCCATAGTGTATAGTATGTAACTACCCCTTTCGGTCTCTCAAATTGTGATATTTGTTTTCTGTCCTTCACGAATAAAATGAAATGAAAAAGACACATAAATGTATGGTTTCACATTTCTTTTCCGTTTTGTTTTGATTATTTATTAAGTTTTTTTTTTTAATTTTTTATTTGAAAAGTATTAAGTTTCTTTTTTTAATTCATTTGAGATCCATTTTTGGGGTATAGTTATATCAATCGTTATGCCTTATCTTTACCGATGGTACGCGGCAATCCACTTTATTTTTTTTCTAAACTTCATTTGTTCGTTTCAAACTTATAATCATAGTGTAAAAACGATTAGATATTTGTTAATTCGATTGCCTAATCTAATTTTTTGAAAAAGACATAATAAAAGTATTTCTGTTAGTGGTGATGATGCTCCCCATATATTAATCGTCGATTCCACCACATAAATTATTTTAAAAAGTTAAATAAAAAAAAAGCTAAAAACTCACACAATCTCTCCATAAATAGAACCTAGGCGTGTGTTCTCCACACTTCACCTATATTCTCTACCTTCTTATTTCAGCACAAAATCAAAAGGAAAGAAAAGAAAACCAAATCAAAAGACTTATCACTTAACCATGGAATCACACAACGTGAACAACAGCTCGAACCTAGACATGGAGATGGATCAAGAAAAGGCTTTCGACTACTCCAAAAGAGCTCAATGGCTAAGAGCCGCCGTTCTTGGTGCCAACGACGGTCTTGTCTCCACGGCTTCACTTATGATGGGTGTCGGTGCCGTAAAGCAAGACGTCAAAGTCATGATCTTGTCAGGTTTCGCCGGTTTGGTCGCCGGTGCTTGTAGCATGGCCATCGGAGAGTTTGTATCCGTTTACTCTCAGTACGACATCGAGGTGGCTCAGATGAAGAGAGAAAACGGAGGGCAAGTAGAGAAGGAGAAGCTTCCGAGTCCGATGCAAGCGGCTGCCGCATCTGCGTTAGCGTTTTCTTTGGGGGCGATTGTCCCATTAATGGCGGCTGCGTTTGTGAAAGACTATCACGTGAGAATCGGAGCGATCGTGGCGGCGGTGACGTTGGCGTTAGTGATGTTTGGGTGGTTAGGAGCGGTTTTGGGGAAAGCACCGGTGTTTAAGTCGTCGGCTAGGGTTTTGATTGGAGGTTGGTTAGCTATGGCCGTTACTTTTGGTTTGACAAAACTGATTGGGACACATAGTCTGTGATAAGTTTGTGTTTAGTTACATACGTGAGTAACGTGAGTAAACTCTTCTTCATGCTTCATGCTTCATGCAACACAATTTAAGCGGTTACGTTTTTTTTTTTATAGAAAAGAAAGTGTGGAATGGACTTGTGGTGACTTGTTTTATTTCGTGGGAATTTGATAGTAATGGGATCTCTTTGTAAGGAACTTAATGTGTTAATATAAATTCTGTCAACTAGAGTTTTCCCCAATAATGATAAAATTAAAGGCTCGTTAATTAAGGACTTGAGAGTCTTTTAACACTTATATGGCTTTAAGTCTTTAACTATATATGATTGGGCAAAACATATCTCCATATAGTTTGCTTAGATCTTTCATCTGTTTTGATGCAGTTCGAAAAGTTTAGAAATCCTTAAGTTTATAGAGTGAAGTAAATATTTGGATATCCCTAAGACCAGTTCCATCGGTTACCGAGATAAATATATGCAGACATATATAAAAAAAATGATTATACGTACACAGAAATGATATATATATATATATGTATATTATAAAATTAAACTATCGAAATAATGAACAATTATAAACTATAAGCAAAAACAGAAATTTGAATTTTTGAAATGAATATCGTTACAGTTTAACTCAATAGACTAATTAAAATCTAAAATGTGCCACTAATCTGCCAAATTAATCTGCCAAATTAATCTGCCAAAATACCACTGAATTTCTTGGTAGTTAGAAATTATAACTAAGTAATCCCCAACTAGAGCCTAACTATATATATATCCATTTAGTTCCACAAAAAAGATATCAACAACACCACACAGATCCTTTACACAAAGATTGATCGTGTTGGAGAGTATAAAAGCTCTCGTCATGACAAATCAATGATCTCCGGAAAAAAACATATATAGAAAGAGAGCTACTTTTGGAATCCTTGTCGTGTTCCGATTTATAAAGCTAAATTTAATGCCTACTTTTGCACCAGATTGCGTGTGAACTCTCACATCCTTGTAGAAAGGAAAATGGAACATGTGGCTTTATGTCTATGAAAACATTATAGTATCATCATCATAGATATTTCTTTGTGCACAATAAACAGAACCAACAAAATTACCATAAGCAAAGCAATTTAGGTCAATCATTTTGTGATGTCAAGTTAAATGTCACAACAACATTCACCAGAACATGATCGGATACAAGAAAATGTGTTATCAGCAGTAGTGTTGTGTTCTCACTTCTCTAATAGAACAAACTTACGAAATCTGCCAAAACCGCAATCTATTTTAGACTCATCGATTACTTGCAAGGGTTTGTACAAGTTGTGGCATCTCATTCTGATGTTTCAGCACAAACTTATCCATGAACTCAGAGCTTTTCAGCTTTAGTATAGTGAAATAGTTGATGTCTTCATTCTTCACAAGTCCTTTAGAGAGAAGCAAAGAGATGACCTGGTTCCTTGGTTTGATTCTCTTCTCCATGCTCAGGCCTAACACCACCGGTCTTGCAACAATGTCACGAGCCTGCAGACCAATGTTGTTTACAAGGTACTCCATCGTGTACATTATCTTCTCATCTGAAACCATCACACAGTTTGGGAATCTCATGATTGCTGCGACGAAATCTTCTTTAGACCAACCAAAACGTTGGAACAATTCAAATTTCCGTTCCATTGTTGCTTCACTCGTGTGATCAAAGGCTACCATAGCGTGAACAAAACCCGCCTTTTTGGGGTCAAAACCGTAACTGCAAACTCTGTTTAAGAGCTCGTTGAATCTTCTCTCAGGAGAGAAAAAAGTGATTGGAGACACTTGAACCAACCACTTGATGCTTTTGTCAGGAACTCCAAGCTCTCTACAAATGGAGACCCGAGGAGACACACAATCTGTAATCTTCAATGAGAAACATCTGTATCCGCGCTTGAGACACTTGACAATGTTTTCTTCCTCAACGAGTATGCTCTTGAGGGCATCATAGCAAGGGATCATTCTTTTGTTCAAGCTATGTGACAGCATTTTCGGGCAAGAAGAGATCATTTTCGCAGTATCAGAGGTCGAAAACCCGATAGAACTGAAAAACATGAGCTTGGGCAAGATAACATCATCCGGGCTCAGTGACAGAACACGAGGAAAGGATTTGATGACATTGGTGATCTGGTCAGTGGTGAAGCCATGGTCCTTGAAGAGAGCAAGAACAGAGTCTGGTTTCTTGGAAGAAACCAATTTGACGAATCTGGAATTCGATTTAGCAGATTCCAAAGACAGTCCACAAGAATCCACGAGATAAGAAACTGTAAAAGATTCCAAACATTGGTTTTGATTTTCGAGATTCTCTGATTTCACTTGTGACACTGAACAAACCATTATTCTTCTACTCACCAAAAACCCTAAATTGACGATACGACTAACAGGGGAAGAAGAAGTAAACGCACAATCTCTGACATTTCTACGGAGAGAAGAAATTAAACAAACCCTTCTGCTGTGTAATAAGCTCGACATGAATTCGAATCTCTAAGCCAGTCTCTTTTCAAAATCTAAAAAAAAACTCCAACTTTGCAATAATCAAATTCGCCGGAAAGATCTGGTTCGCAACCGAGAATAGAGCTAAAAGACCGTCGTGAATACCTTTGTGGGCGCAGAGACTCACGGAGATGTTGTTTGAATCAATGGGAGCCAGCTCACAAGGACTACACAAGTGTGAAATAATCGATTCAAAATCAAAATGTGCGACGACGATGGAAGAGTTACGAATATCTATAAAACAAATAAAATATACACAAGTCTTTATTTCTCTTTATTCACAGATTCGCCTCAAACTTTATTAAGTTACACAATAACCCATATATGTCTACTATATATATAGATGGAAATCAGACAGATTATGCTAAACATTAAGATGTTTTATTTTGCATAATGTCCAAGTCCGTGTGTATAATCTTGTAAATTATATGGACATCAAATTTTTTGTAAAATATGGGGAGTTTAAACAAAAGACAATTGTAGAAACAACAGGAGGGGTTGGGGTTTAATTGATTGCATAAAGTATTTAGGGGCATTAAAAGAGTTGTTCTATAATATCAAAACGATGAAAAATAATAAAAATCAGCAGTTCAAAATAGAAAAAAAAATGAAACACATAAGTTTATGTCCCTCCCCTCTCAAACCTCTCTAAAATCTTTCATTGTATGTTCAATATCCTTTCAAGTCTCAGAACAAGACTCTTCTCGTCGTCAGATAACTCCTCCTGCAATCAGGTTTCGAGTATCAGTTTAAGCTTTAATAAAACACAAGTTACTGTTAAAACCTCATTTTGTACAACTTACCCAATAGTAAGTTCTGAGTACGTCAATGGATCGCCTAGAAATGTGACTGATAAGCCCGTCCTCTATACCAAAGTGCTTCCCACACTTTTTCTGTTCTTCTGGGTTAGAAGCAATGATCTAATACGAAAACAAACATTGGTTTTTTGTTTACAAGGTCAATTGCAGAAAAACTAGAAAAGTTTTTAATGATGAAGAGAAAGGGATCTCATACTTTAATAGCCACTTCCTGTCCTTTCCTTGCATTATCAACTGGCCTGTTGTTATTTTTAATAGATGCAACGCGCCCAATGTCCATAATCACTCTTACATTCTCAATCCTTTTGAGAATGCAAATGGGAGTTCCAACCTAAATCAACAAAGACCATATTGTTAGATCTTTGTGATCCAGAAGACAAGTGTACACAGATCCTGATGAGAAAATAGCATATACCTTGAGTATTCCATCATTGACTTTAACTCCAAGGATGATTGGGTCCTTCTTATTGTAGATATGGTTTGGTAAAATCTGAAGGACACATGGGAAAACTACTTCACAAGCTGTTTCTTTCTTTTTCTCCTCTTTGATACCCTCGATGTAACTCTTAAACTTATTGAAGAGACGATAGATGGTATCATCGCAGAAGATTTTTACTCCCATTTTGTCTGCAAGTTCGCGAGCTTCTGCAGTTATTTTCACATCAAAGGCCAAAATCGTTGCAAACTCTTCTTTCTTCTCTAGCATTATCCCGGCCTTCATGATATCCTTCTTATGCACAGGTCCTATGCCATTACCACTGACAGGTATTTTTACATCTGAGGACTTCAAGAACTCTAGCAATGCTTCCAAAGACCCTAATGTAGACGCTTGTACATAAACTCCTTCACCACTTTTGTCAATGCGGTTCATAACTGATTCAATATCTTCCATGACATTTTTCTTGGCTTCTTCCATGTCCTCATTAGGCCCAATCACATGCAAGGCAGTACCAGCAATGGCGTGTTCAAGGCCCTTTTATAAACACCAAAAATATAGGAAACATTTGTTCAGGATGTCCTCATTTGTGCTAAGTAATTAAGATCAAGTAAAAATAACAGTAATTGCAATGTCAGAGACAATTACCTGTGCTGCAATTTTGATACCCTGCACAGCCTTTACTTCTCTGTGTGCCATATAGGTACCCTGAAATATCAGATCAAGAAATAGTCATTGTGTACGCTAAAAAGGAATGTAGAAAGCTATTTGTATAAACCATGTTTCCCTAGTAATAATAGTAACAAGAGGCAAGAAATGGACTATCTGAAAGTACCTTCACCCGCGTCTCGTTCATAGGATAAGGAGTCAATAATGATCTAATAGTTGTTACAATTGGTCCCTAGAATAGAAGAAAGGAAAAAAAATCAATAACATCAAGTTTCCAGCTTTATGATATACTTGGCATATTACATGTTTAGGTATGACCCATGAGTTTTCTACTTACCTGTGACCCACAAACAATGATTTGATCACTTTCACGGAGTACACCGTTGACCAAAACAACATCAACTGTAATACCATGGCCTTCAATAACTTTGACCTCAAGGACGGTACACTGTCAACCATTTTAAGAAAAGATAAGAAAGCTGAAGTAGTGCAGAAACGATTCATTATCTAAAAGAGGAATGAGACAAACCTGCACTTTGTCAACATATGTGAGTTTCTCCACCATTGTTTTCTGAGCCCATTGAACTAACAAAAGCAAAAGATCTGGGACCCCTTCCCCACTGAAATATCAATATCCAAAATTAATCCATTAGTTAGCACGGTTGACCTCTATGCTAGACTACAATTTGAAGATAGCAAAAAAATCTGAGACCTAATAGCACTAGTAGGTACAATACTGATAGTTTCTCCCATTTCTCTGTTCTTGTAATAAAGCATACTATTGAGTCCTTGTTCTTGGAACTGGGTTTTAACCTGGAACACCAATGAAACAATATTAGTTAATAAGTTTATAACACGCACATCCTATTCACCCTAAAAGATTAAAAACTCTAGACGTAGAACTTACTTGATGTAATTTCATGTTAAACTCATCAACCACATTTCTCAATTGTTGCTTCATTGTCTTCATTAGAGGAGCATCCTTGTTTTTTTTCCACCTATATAGCCTATCCACCTGAAATTTGGAGGTTTTATGCCATACATCAATGACAATAAAGAATACCAAACACATGCCAACAGAATGACAAGAAGTCTCACCTTATTCAAGGCAACAATGAACTTTACATTCCTTCTTCTCAAAAGATTCAGAGATTCTAAGGTTTGTGGCTCTAGACCACGCATTATGTCAACCACTAGAATTGCAAGGTCACACAAATTTGCACCCCTTGACCGCAGATTTGTGAATGACTCATGTCCAGGTGTATCGATAACCAATAGACCTGGCACCTTGAGTTTAGCATCAGCTTTTAACTCCTTGGTCCTCTCACGGATGTTTTCTGCAGGGAAATATGTTGCACCAATCTGTTGAGTAATACCTCCAGCTTCACCTTCCTGAACATTTGTTCCTCTGATGCAATCCAATAGCTTTGTTTTACCAGAATCAACATGACCCATGATGCAGCAAATGGGAGAGCGAAGACTTTCTTCTACTTCTTTAGAAGCTTCATTCAGTACTAAGCCTTCATCCTTTTTCGAAGTATCTTTCGGCCAGGTAGCACCATCCATCTTAGGCATAGCTTTTTTGGCATCTGTTTTTGGCTTGCCAGCAACTCCAGGCTTCACTTTTTGTCTATCTGCGCCAGGACCTGTATTGAAACCCAAAATTAGATAAAGCGGACAAACGAAATAAACCACAGGCTGAGGTTCTTCTTCCTCAAGTGTTTCTACTGACCTGAATCATGTGCCTTTGATGCAGTGTCGTTTAATTCTTTCTTAAACACAGGCTGATGTTTTTCCTCCTCATCATCAGAATCACCCCTGATGGTAAAATTAGTTTTTGCATCCCACACATCCTCCTCATCACCATTCTCATGTGATACATCAACAGATTCATATTTCTCTTCTGTGTCAACTGATTCGATTATTCCAACCTTTTTATCGTCAACTGAAACCAATTCATGCAAAGTACCTGGTTTATCTGCTGCATGATTGTCCTTTGTTTCTACATCACCTTTCATCTGGACAGAAGCAGAATCGTTTGCTTTTATGCAAGCTGATTTGTTTTTGTTGCCATATATGGGACGTCTTGAGGGTTCACCGTTTTTATCTGCAACAAGAAGACTTCCAGCATCAGATAACACCCGTTTCCTGAAAGCCTCATTCTTAGCAGCTTCACGCTTTTGCTTTGCTGTTAGAATCAGGCCTTCTTGCTTCTTCTCCATTTTCCTTAACTTTCTCCTCTGCCTAATCTCTTCAGCTTCCCTTTCTCGCTCTTCCTCTATGCGGCGCTCCTCTTCCTCTTTCCTCAATCTCTCTTCTTCTTCCTTCTTCTTCCTCTCTTCAGCTTCTTTCCGCCGCGCAAGAATCTCTTGCTTCTCTCGAACATGTTTAGGAACTTTCTTCTCGGCTACTTTAACCTTTACATCTTTCTTCTTGGGCTCAGATATGGAATTCTCTAGTTTATCCTCCTTCGCCTCCACAGAAGAATTAGCTACAGAAGCATCTGCTTTCTTGCCCTTGTCCTTCTTCTTTTTCTTCTTCTTCGCTGTAAAAGACTCAACAGCCCCATCTGCAGAGGGTTGAGCTACAGTTTTCTCCACTTTAGGTTTCTCACATAGCTTCTTACCAATAGAGCCATCGTCATCTATCACACAACATCTATTCTTAGATTCAGCACCTCCCACAGATGAGACAAGGGAGAGATCATCTTTCCCACCCCACGCACTCGAATTCCTCGGATCCATTGATAAAAATCAAATATGAATATAGCCTGTGATTAAACCCAACACCGAAAAAAAAACAAACAATAAGGTATCCGATCATATTCTAGAACCAACAACAATAAATTCAGGGTGAGAGAAGAGTACCTTTATCTTTAATGGGTTTAGCTTCATATTAGGCAAAACAAACTAGGGAGATTGAAGGAACAACAAACAAGTCACCGGAGAAGATTAGATCTTTCAGGGAGAAGAGTAAGCAGGTGAATTTCTTTGTTGCAGAGAAAGTTGGGAGCTTTAGGGTTTCTGAACGAAATTTGGGTTTGTCGCGTCGTATTTATAGATTTCGATCGAAGAAGCTTGAGATAGAATTTTATAACTTTAGGTTAAATAACCAAAACGACTGCGTTTTAGAGTATCCAGCTTTTTATCTATACTTGTATTAGATTAATGGAAAATTGGAAAAGTATAAAACAAATAAATAAATGGAAAAATTGGAAATAAAGGACAAATAATTTAAATATTGTCATCTATGCATTTTATATTCATGATTAGTCATATATACTTTAATATTGGTCATATATGATTTCATATAATTAAAATCCCAATATGCTCCAGTCTTTTAAAATCTTACTAAACTATTAAAAAAATTCTAAATTAAATTGATTTCTTTCTAAAAACAATTTGGAAAAAATATAGGACAAAATCAACATTTATTTACATTCTATTATTTGTTTTACCGTAGATAATTTCATATCTTCTTCTTCTTTGATTCTCTTGCTCATCAAAGTTAAGCTTTCGTAATTGTTCTCTCCTCTCTAATAACGCCATATTAAATAATTTTTTTTCTTCTTCTTCAATCTCTCTCTCTATCTCACTCCCTTGATTTCAATTTCTTTATGGAGCGCAACTATAATTTTCCGGGTTTTGAAACAAGAAATTAAGCGTAATCTATAGGAAAAAGTGTTAAGTATAAAGAAAAATTCTAATTTGTGTTATAATTTATTCACTTAGGTATAAAGAATTTTAAAGCATTCAAAATTCAATTAATTTTCCGGGTTTTGAGACAAGAAATTAAGCGTAATCTATAGGAAAAAGTGTGAAGTATAAAGAAAAATTCTAATTTGTGTTATAATTTATTCACTTAGGTATAAAGAATTTTAAAGTATTCAGAATTCAACTTCTGTAATTTGCAGATGTAATCAATTCACTATATTCAATTTTCATATTTTAAGATTTTTTTTTTTAAATCTAAATTAGATAGAATGTACTTTCTAATTTTTATAGAATAAAAAAAATCTTGAGAATATATTTTCTAACATTCTTAGAACATGAGTAAATGTTAGAAAACATATTCTAATTTTTGTAGAACAAAGAACAAAGTATAGAATATGTATTCTAAAAGTCGTAGAAACTAGTATTCTAAATACCGTAGAACAGAAATGACTTCTAAATTTTGTAGAACATGTAGAGTGTGTAGAATACATAATCTAAATTTTGTAAAACATGTAGAGCGTATAGAATATACATTCTAATTTCAGAAGACATATTCTAAACTTTATAGATCAAATTTTATCCATCTAAAACGAAAACAAAACAATATATTTTTGACATTTTATATATCTTCATGTCTTCTTTATCATTTTAATACATATTAATTAAATTATTTTTAAAACAATTGGTTCAATCTTATGCAAGAGATAGTTTAGGAATAGTTGATATTTATTCATAGAATTCATATATGGACAAATACTTAAATATTTATCATTTATTTCCAATTTTTCCATAAATAAATAACAGTAGAAAAATTCTTCACACGGAAAAAAAAGGAAAAAGTCACAAAACAAAATTCAAATTAAAACAGCACAGATCTCTGCGATTAGCTACGGAGAGGAAGAGAAAGACGATCATCTGATTCTGAGATAACAATGTCGAGCGATAGCGACGAAGATGAGCTACTTCAAATGGCGTTGAAGGAGCAATCTCAGAGAGATCTTACCTATCAGAAGCCTCCTTCCGCTAATTCCCGTAAGCCAGTCACCAATTTAGTGCAGCAGCCACGGAGACAGAAGACGGCGACAGCTCCTCCGCCGAAGGGAGGTTCGAAGGCGTCAAGGAAGCCATCGATGGATGAGGATGATGAATCGGAGGTGGAATTGCTTAGCATTTCGAGCGGGGATGAGGATGAGGGAAATGATCGGGCAAGAGATGGTCACGGTGGCGGAGGTAGAGGAAGAGGTGGAAGTGGTAAGGATAGAGGAAGAGCGCGGAAGGAAGACGACAGAGCTTGGGATGGAGTGGAGCCAGATTGCTGGAAACGGGTTAATGAAGCTGAGGTAGGGATTCACTATCTATCATGTTTGAATTTACCTGGATTCAAATTTTGAGATTGGAAGAGATTATGCGTGAAATTTTCGACCTAAGAATTTCAATTGCATTTTTTTTATTTGAAGTAGTCTCAAGTAATCTTTGCTTCTTTGAAATTGTATAAATTGGTAGATGTGATATCAGTTGTATGACCTTGAATTATCTGTTCATGGAATTGAGATGTAGCAGACCTCAGCTCAAGGCCACTAGTTACGTTTAAATCATGGCATTACGCAAATTTAATTGGGAATATGAACATTTTTACTTAAATGCTGATGACATTTGGCAGCTTGCACGCAGGGTTCGTGATATGCGGGAGTCGAGAACAGCACCATCCGTGACTCAGAACCTTGATAGGAAGGTATCTGGAGCTGACAAGAAAGTGGTTCTTACCAGTTTGCAATCGTTCCCTCGTGGCATGGAATGCATTGATCCACTAAAATTGGGGTACTTCCTCTCGTTTGTGCTGCTCACCTCTACTGTCATTCAAATACTTTATTATATCTCGGAGAACACGATATGGTAGGGCGTATCTAAATATGGCTTTTTGTGTACCTTGTAGGATAATAGATAACAAGACACTGAGATTAATCACTGAGTCATCTGAAAGTCTTTCAAAAGCTGAGAAAGTGGATAATGCACTTAGGGGTATGTATTTCTTCATCACCATACTTGCAAATTGGAGTTGATTTGAACTTTATGCGGGATTACTCGATGTACAACTTCCGGTTTTCTAAATTTAACTGCTCTGAGAATTTGCAGAAAAGTTGGTGTACATCTCTGACCATTTCGATCCCAAGCTATTTATTTCTCGCATTCACCAAGAGACAAGTGCAGCAGACTTGGAATCCGGTGCCCTTGCCCTGAAAAGTGACTTAAAGGGCCGTAATCTACAAAGGAAACAATTGGTTAAAGATAATTTTGACTGCTTTGTCTCGTGTAAAACAACAATTGATGGTATGCATTATTACACTCAGTTATCTATTTTGCACTTTCATCTTCTCTCTTGTTGATGCGAACATTACTGCCTTTCTTTACAGATATTGAATCAAAACTGAAACGGATCGAAGACGACCCAGACGGATCGGGAACTACTCATTTGTTTAATTGTATGAAGAGTGTGACATCACGGGCTAATCGTGCTTTTGAGCCACTTTTCGAGAGACAGGTTTGTATGGGCACGTACTATTGTTTTTTGGTGTTGTTCTAGCCTCTTGATATCTGCTTAAGACTGTTTTCACCATTATTCATAGGCCCAAGCTGAGAAGATCAGGTCTGTACAAGGAATGCTTCAGAGATTCCGTACACTCTTCAATTTACCCAGTATAATTCGTAGTAGTATTAGCAAAGGCGAGTATGATTTGGCTGTTCGGGAATACAAGAAGGCGAAGTCTATTGCTCTCCCTTCTCATGTATGCATTCCCCATTGATCCAACTCTTCAGACAGATATCACTCATGTTTCTCCCAGCATTCACTTGTTACCATATTATTCACTTGCATTACAAAGCTCTTGAAACCATAGAGTAACACGTTGCTTACAGGTAAATTTACTCAAGCGCGTACTCGAGGAGGTTGAGAAAGTGATGCAAGAGTTTAAAGGCACCCTTTACAGGTCTATGGAAGATCCGAAAATAGATTTTACGAGTGTAAGTTCACTATTACCACTTCTATTCTAATGTGGATTACTAATGGAATGAACATTCCATCATTGAAATATGTTTGAGATCCTGATTCTTTTGTTATAATATCACCATCAGTTCCCAAGTGTACAATGATTGAAGTTTTCATGCTTCCCTTTTGTAAGACTATGAGTCACCAGTTAATGTTATAATAGACATTCATGTATCTTGTCTCTCCTTTCTGTTCCTCTGCTTAATGCTAAAACTTTTTTGCTTAATTTAGCTGGAAAACACTGTGAGGCTTTTACTGGAGCTGGAGCCTGAATCGGATCCTGTTTGGCATTACTTAAATGTTCAGGTCAGTGTATTATATGTTTTTCTTTTCACTACGGTTTTCCTAAGTTTAGTGCTGAGTAGTGTTTGGATTCCTGATACTTTTGATTTTAACATCCGAAGGTTTCTCTCTTAGCCTCTGCTATTATGCATCTCTTTCTTTCATGATTGTGGTCTTACTTGACACCTCTTCAGAAACACACATTATATATGGTTTCCCAGTCTATGTATATAAATTTTTCTGGCTTGTTTCTTTCTTTTATCAGAATCATAGGATTCATGGGCTGCTTGAAAAGTGTACATTTGATCATGAAGCAAGGATGGAAAGTTTGCGCAACCAGGTGCATGAGAGAGCTCTCTCTGACGCGAAGTGGCGACAAATTCAACAAAATGGTGTTCAACTTGTGAGTTCAACTGTGAAGGCAGCTATATTATTGCAAGATAAGCAAGATTCAGGTTAAAATGTGTTAACAATTTTTACTTTCTTTTCAATCCTTCAGTCAGATGACATGTCTTCTATGGAAGATAATCAAGTTCAAGTTGACCAACCATCAGAAGAGTCAGCGGGGAGAGAAAAGGATGCTTTGAGGGGAAGATACATCAAAATATTGACGGCTGTAATCGTATATCATCTCCCTACGTTTTGGAAAACAGCTCTTTCTGTTTTTACTGGGAAATTTGCCAAGGTACATGATACTCCTATGTGCCCTGCTCCTGCAGTAGATTACCTCTCTGTATTATAATTTCGTTACGCTGAGGGTAGTACATATTTTTCCTGTATTCAAACGGAGGTACATCTTTACTTTGATTTAAATTTGACCAATTCAGTCTTCCCAAGTTAATGATACTTCAGCCAGTAAAGCTGAGGAGAAGGCGGAAGAAGCGAGGTATTCAAGTCATTCTTTGGAAGAAATTGCTGGGATGATACGCAATACCATTTCTGTTTATGAAGCAAAGGTCTTCTCCTTGTCTCTCTTTTGTCTACTGAATTTTTATCAATAGAGCTTTCTTTGCCATACTGGAAAAATGAACCCTGCCGTTTGTTCCTTGCATTTGTTCTAATATTTTTCCCCTATAATTTTTTGTGTAGGTGCAAAGCACTTTTCATGATTTTGACGAATCATATATTCTCCACCCATATATGAGTGATACCATAAAAGAAGTATCAAAAGCATGCCAAGCTTTTGAGGCCAAAGAGTCAGCTCCCCATAGTGCTGGTATTTGAATTTCGTCTTAAGCTTGAGCTTGTTGTTTCGCTGAAGTATACTGAGATTATGTAACTTTTTGGCTGTGGCAGTCATGGCACTAAGAAAAGTTAAGGTGGAAATCACTAAAATATACATCCAAAGGCTCTGCTCTTGGATGAGAGCGTCTACAGAAGAAATATCAAAGGAAGAGACGTGGATCCCAGTTTCTATTCTTGAAAGGAACAGATCTCCATATTCCATCTCTTACCTGCCCCTTGCATTTCGTTCAATTATTGTCTCTGGGATGGAACAAATTAATATGTAAGTTTCTAGCATCTTGCTGTTACATGTATATACAAATAGTTAACTTTATGTACCTTAATAATTACAACTTTTTGCTATTATTTTGTAAGAGTTCTAGATATCTGTGATTCCAGCTACATATTACTCTAGAATTTGATGTTCTACTTCTCTCCTAAAGTTAGAGAACAAAAAGCAGCTTCCAAATTGCCATAATCACTAGTCATATTTATCTGTCATGTGAAAATTACAGAACTTTTTTGTGTCATATTATGATAGAATAAAATTGGTTCAGAAATATTCAGAGAACTGAATATGCATTTTTGTACCACCAATTTCTGTGTATTTAACAGCATTGTTGCCTTACATGGCTGCATATTTCTGTCTATGCTTTTCCAGGATGATTCTATCTTTAAAAGGTGAAGCTGCTAGATCCGAAGATATGTTTGCACATATTGAAGAAATCCTGATATCTGTTAGACTTGCCTTTTTGAACTGCTTTCTGGATTTTGCTGGTAAGCTTTTTACACCAAACTTCCGTGAAAGTACATGTATACAGATGCCCACATAAATGTGTAGGCAGACAAAAGGAAATATTTATGTTGATATGCTAATTGATTTTTGCACATATCAGCTCACCTGGAGCAAATTGGTGCTGACCTTTCTCAACGCACCTCAAAGCGAGAGAGTTGGCAAAATGGATACTCCAACGACCACCAGGAAGAACAATCAATCAATGCTCCTGAAAGTGTTGTTGATCCTCACAGGCAGTTGTTGATGATTTTAAGTAATATAGGCTACTGCAAAGACGAACTTGCCTCTGAGCTTTACAACAAGTACAAATATACCTGGTTACAGTCTCGGTGAGTCCCTTTCTTTATTTGACTTCATTGACGCCTTTTTTAATATCAAAATTTTCTTATCTCTGCTACAACCGGCAGAGAAGTTGGACAAACTCAGTCATAACCTTGATATTAGTACCAATGTCCGAATGACAAACACAGTCATGGTTAAATGTCTCTACTACACAACCATGATAATTGGTTTCAATATCTGAGCTTTCCTAATCAAAATTTTGAATGTCGAAGTAAGAATTAGTATATGGTGTTATAGTTTACTGACTAATCCATTATGTCTCTTAAATGTTGCAGGAGAAATGATGAAGACATCAGCGATCTTCAAGATCTGATAATGTCTTTCTCTGGTCTTGGAGAGAAAGTCCTCGAACATTACACTTTTGCTAAGGTAACGTTTAATGTGCTAGATAGTTTAGTAATGTTGTCCCTGTGTGTTAGAGAATTGATGCACCTCCATTGAACAATGGCACAAGGAATGTTCTTGTTCTCACTAAGTTTGCATCTATTTCGCTTGTACCCAGGCAAACTTGATCAGAACAGCTGCCACCAATTATCTGCTGGACTCTGGTATTCAGTGGGGTGCAGCGCCTCCAGTAAAAGTAAGTCGAAAGTCCACTCTCAGCTGTGACTTATTTGTGCCTTCGATGAATCAATGAAAAGAACATTTTAGCCTCTCGTCTAAAGAAACCCAAGAAACGATAACTAAATCTTTCCTTCAGGGCATTCGAGATGCTGCTGTTGAGCTGTTACACACTCTGGTTGCTGTCCATGCAGAGGTATTACCATTGCTTTGTTATATGAAGATACTGTACTTAGTTTTTTTAACCATTAGACATTTGAATTTCTATAACCATTTCTTCTAGTTCTAACTACCACAGTTGAGTGTTCCTAGTGCAAAACCCGTTAATTTTATACTAAAGAACTATAATTTCAGGTATTTGCGGGTGCCAAACCACTCCTGGACAAAATTCTCGGCACTTTGGTCGAAGGTCTGATTGATACTTTTCTCAGTCTTCTGGAAGAAAACAGATCTGACGACCTAAGCTCAATAGATGCAAATGGTTTCTGCCAATTGATGCTTGAGGTAAAACTTGTCAGTCTTATCGACTTTATTTTAGTGTGTGTTAATAGTATAACTAGCTATGATGCTTACCTGTTTTCACAAATTGACGATGCAGCTCGAATATTTTGAGACTATACTGAACCCATATTTGACTGTCGATGCAACCGAGTCCCTAAAATCTCTGCAAGGAGCTGTGTTAGAGAAAGCTACAGAGAGTATAAGTGAGACAGTCGAGAACAACCTGGGAGGGCATCAGCGGAAACCAACACGTAGCAGTGAAGATGCAATTTCAGATGACAAACAATCGTCCGTATCACCAGATGATCTCCTTGTAAGACCATTTCTCCTTAACCACCACTTGATATTTACCATCTTCAATACCGCTTACAGATTCAGCTAAAAGCGGTTCTGCTTTGTTATTGTTGCTGTTTTAGGCTCTTGCACAGCAATGCACAAGTGGGATGCTTCAATTGGAGCTAGAGAAGACCCGTTTGAACAGTGCATGTTTCGTTGAGACCATTCCGTTGGATCCAATGTCAGTAGCTAAAGCGGCCTACTCCAGAACATCGACTGATTCTCCAAGCAGAAACTATAGAGAGTCGCAATCAGTGGGTTCTCCAGTTCAAGCCAGACCCAGACGAAGATAAGACTTCTCTTCTCCATTGTTACTATGCTCGAAGCGTGTTGGTGATCTTGACAAGTTTTATCTTCCTACAGATACCTCAACTTTTAATCTCAATACTATATTCGTTCTAATTGGCTATGCATCACTAATCTTTTTTTTACTGTAAATTTACATGTTTACAATTTACATTAATCTTTTCTCATGAAATCAATCGTATTTGCGTTTTCATCCTCCTGAACCGTGAATCAATTTGCTGGTTCGGTTAATCAAATTGTCTTTCCTAGGGTTACACATCTAATCTCTTTTGCTGAGAGAGGAATGAAATCAATGAGTTTGAGAAAGAATACAAATCTTTAGAGAAAACTACACCAAACCAGAAAATGTAACTAAATCCGATCATAAACGGTAAGAAAGTCACAATACGAAGCATGTTACACTGCTTCTACTATAACGAAGCAGCCCATAACCAGAATTCGAAAGCTACATTCGGTTTCAATGTTTGACAACAAAGAAAAACATACCACACAATTACAATTCAAAAGCCAAGTAATCAGAAAAAAGTGGTTTTACTCAGCTCCAGATTTGTCAACACAGATCCCAGTACACAAGAACATTTAGGTCGTCGTCCTCAAAGGCGGTGACACCAATATCACTCCATCTCCTCTCACGAATAAAAACGGAACCGTTCGCTTCGTTGTCTGACAAAAGCAAGTTACATCAGCAGGAGAAGAACGTATGATTCTACACTAGTCTAATGAGAAGTTAACACATCCCATTTGGGGCACAAACAACAAAATTCAAGTTTGATAAACTAAACAGAGTAACTATATAGGTAATGAGCACTCTAAGTAACCAGCACTAGTAACTTGCACATGAGTACTCAAACTAAGACATAGACAATAAGATACTGTGAAAGCTGAAATATTTTGAACACAAAAACGTTATCTTACTACTAAAGCCTAGATCATCCAATTCCTCTTATTGAGCTAAGAGAATTACATACCCGAACAATCTCTTCGTATGTCTCGTCGTCGATTTCTACAGTCGTAATAACCTCTTCAACATCACCCAGAATCATATTCAAATGCTGATCAAAAGCCTGCACCACAAAAAGTGAGAATCTTGAAATTTTGATATTGTGAAAGTATAAAACTAGTGTTAAATTCAACGAAGAAGGAATTCAAAGGAGCTCAAAATCGAAATCAAGATCACATCTGGTTTCTGGAATCCGAGTGGTTAAAAAACGTACGTGAAGCTTGCCGCGGAGTTCACGGTCTGATCGGAGCTTGACATAGATCCTCTCTTCGATACTCAGCCGAATCAGATCGAGTGGCTCTCTAACGGTGGCGTCTTCCTCGACGGACATTTTTCTGATTAAAACTTCTCCGAGGGTTTTGAAATTGCGATGAAGAATAGTAGTAGCTCTCTGACTGAGCTCAAGCAATCACCACCGTTGGTTTCTAAAACTTCAAACCAATATCTTACGATTCGGCCTTTTACTATGTTTTTGGGCTCTCATATCGGCCCAATATGGCTAGCTCTTTTCTTTTCTTTTTTTTCCGACAGGAAAAAAATAGGAAGTGTATATAATTTTCCTTTATAAACTTGTAAATAAATACGGTAAACAAGCAATCTCACTCAATAATATAATTATAAACAAACTAGATTATGTACCCGCGCGTTGCGCGGGATTTTTATTTTTTTATTTTTATCAATGCGAATCTTTGAGTATAAATCTAATCATTTGAATTTTAATATTTTTACTTTATTCATGTGCATTATCTTTCCAATATAGTAAAAAAAAATTCACACTTTTCATTACAATTTCTTTCGTTATCTTCTATCATTCACTCGTTGTTTCTCGATATTTACTCTCTTTTCGCCTTATATTGACTCATATATAATATACTCGATTGTGAATTAGTTCTCAAGATGTATCGTATATCATTTCTCCTTCCTATCTTTGAATACTCAATTCTTTTTTTATAAGTTGCATAATCTTTTTATTAAAGTGAACATCAAAAAATTTTATGAAATGTTTTGTCATAAGGTTTTTTTGACCATGTTTTGGTGGATGTAAAATTGTTTTGTATACAACAAATCTCATATATAAACTCATTGCTATTCACAAACATCGGATTTTAACGTCAAATTTTTCATTTATCTTGACTGTTTGAAAGATATAAAATTCTCTTTTTACATACATAATTTGACGTATATTATGATTCTAGATAGTATTCTTAGTGTTGATTTTTTCTAAAATATGTAAATTACGAAATCATAAGTTATTCTTTTTTTTTTTTGTCGTCTTAATATTGAAACAAATAAAGAGTTTGCTAGAAACAGAGTAAAACAAAAACAGGGGAACTGAAATAACAAAACAAAGTAAGAGTAAATCAACCACAATCATTGTCTACATCGCCGTTCGTCCTCAATCCGGTTATTCTAATTTTAAAATACGTTTATTTAAAAAAAAACAAAATCATTCTTCTTTCTAATTAAAAAACTCTTCAATATACCATTAATATTCTAATTTCCAAATAGCATTCTCAAATATTATTATTACACAATTTTATGATTCGATTAGATTATTATTACACAGTTTTATTAAACTCTTCAATATACCATTACTAAAACATAGGTCTTTGTTTTATTTCAAATCACCTTAATTTTTTTCATTCTATGTTAATTTCCTAAACACTGATTACTATTTAGTTTTTCTTCTTAGGTATTCATTAAGAAAACATTAATAATATAGACAAATTTCTTAATTTAACTATTTATATTATATTATAATTATAAACAATAATATGTACTCAATCCTTCTTATTTTTTAACCGGTATAAGGAATTGATACTTTAACCTTAACAAATATATTCTCAAATTTTAATTTTTTTTTTAGAAATAAATTACTTTTTTTTTTATTAAGTAAGAACCTTTAAATTTGGTATTTATTAACTCTTATTTTCTTTATTGTACTAAATAATTGTAATTCTTAAAAGTGATTGTTGTTCCATTAAAATATATGATAAGTTTCCGTTTTCTTATCACTAACTATTTAAAAATAATTACGCATTATATGTTAAGATATAATTATCTTATTTTATATTTCTCCAATCTCAATTCAAAAGTTTCATGTTTAAATACGAGTAAGATATAATTATTCATTATCTGTTTTATATTTGTTTTTCCGTTTTTCATATTTAATTTTTTTGTAATTTTTTTTTAAATGGAGGGTAATAATATAAAGTATGTGAATTAATTTATTTTAATATTTTTTTCTTAATAAATAAGATATATGAATCCTACCAAAATAATAAAATGTGATGACATGGATGTTGATGTGGACACCTTAGATGGAGAGATAACTCTCTCATTTTATATATAGATTTACCATATAAACAATAATAATCGATACTATCAAATTTATTCTCTTTTCTGTCTGTCTATTAAAGTAATTTAAAGATAATAAATCATCTATGCAAATAATCGAAGCTTGGAAAGAAATTCTTGCCCATGATTATTGAACCATGGTTAGTGGAATTTAGCTATATATATTAAGTCCAATCACAAGGTATCAACAAACAATAGAAGTCCAATCACAAGGTATCAATTTGGCATTTCATTTTTTTTTTTTTTTAAAAGCCTTCTGTCATATACTCATATGTTTAGAGAGAGAGAAACCTGAAGAAGCTGGCCGGAGAAGACGAAAGAAAGCAACAAGGTCCAAACTTTTTCTGTGAGTTACTTCCTTTGACTCATCTCTCAATATTTTACCGCTTTATTTCTTCATCTCGATGCCTCTCTGCGTTTTTCTCTACTAAAGTTTCGATTTTTAATTTCCCCCAAGATCCAGTACTAATTTTGTTGACAAAGTTTATACTTTTCAAAATCGACTTTTGACTTTTTGAGATCTGTTTTCTCTTCGATTTCTCTGATGAATTAGGAAGAAAAAATGGATGGGAATTTTCCACAAGGTGGTGTAGTTCGTGGTGGAGCTGCTTCTTATGGTGGATTTGATTTGCAAGGTTCTATGAGAGTTCAACACCAAGATTCCATGAATCAGCAACATCGACACAATCCTAATTCTCGACCACTTCATGAAGGTCTTCCCTTTACTATGGTTACAGGTCAAACCTGTGATCATCATCAGAACATGTCTATGTCTGAGCAACAGAAACCTGAAAGAGAGAAGAATCCAGTGAGTGATGATGATGAACCAAGTTTCACAGAGGAAGGTGGTGATGGTCATAATGAAGCTAATAGATCAACTAAAGGATCTCCATGGCAACGAGTGAAATGGACTGATAAGATGGTGAAGTTGTTGATAACCGCTGTTTCTTATATCGGCGATGATTCAAGTATGGATAGTGGTAGTAGAAGGAAGTTTGCTGTTTTGCAGAAGAAGGGGAAATGGAAATCTGTTTCTAAAGTTATGGCTGAGAGGGGTTATCATGTTTCGCCGCAGCAGTGCGAGGATAAGTTTAATGATTTGAATAAGCGGTATAAGAAGCTTAACGATATGCTTGGTAGGGGAACTTCTTGTCAAGTTGTTGAGAATCCTGCGCTTTTGGATTCGATTGGTTATTTGAATGATAAAGAGAAGGATGATGTTAGGAAAATCATGAGTTCCAAACATCTTTTCTATGAAGAGATGTGTTCTTACCACAATGGGAACAGATTGCATTTGCCTCATGACCTTGCTTTGCAGCGTTCGTTACAGTTGGCGCTTAGAAACAGAGATGATCATGATAATGGTGATTCTAGGAAACATCAAATGGAGGATCTTGATGATGAGGATCATGATGGGGATGGTGATGAACATGATGAGTATGAGGAGCAACATTATTCATATGGAGAGTGTAGGGGAAATCATTATGGAGGTGGTGGTGGTCCTTTGAAGAAGATTAGACAAAGCCATAGCCATGAAGATGCAGACCATCCGAGTCATGTGAATTCTCTGGAGTGTAATAAAGTCTCTTTACCTCAAATGCCGTTTTCTCAAGCTGATGTGAATCAAGGTGGGGCAGAGAGTGCAAGAGCAGCTTCGGTGCAGAAGCAGTGGATTGAGTCGCGGACTCTGCAGTTAGAAGAGCAGAAGCTTCAGATCCAAGTTGAATTGCTGGAATTGGAGAAACAGAGATTCAGGTGGCAGAGGTTTAGTAAGAAAAGGGATCAAGAACTAGAGAGAATGAGGATGGAGAATGAAAGGATGAAACTTGAGAATGATCGGATGGGATTGGAGTTGAAACAAAGAGAACTGGGTGTTGAATTATAACGGAATTGACTTCACTTCTCTTGATTAGTATATACCTTCGCTAAATGAAGTCTCATTTTCTGCTTTTGTAAGCTTGCTTTGTTTGGAATGATCTCGAGACTTTGTTGTGAGAGATCATTGTGGTTGCATCAGTGATGAATTGTAGTAATATAAGCAGCTCTCTAAGGTTTGTTTCCACACAACCTCTCAGTAATTAACTGGTTATCTTCATCATTCTGCTGTATTATTTTCAACATCTTAATCCAATTTTCTGGGGTGTAACAAATGTCTCATTATTAAGCCAGTTTGAGAATGAGTTGTTGCTAACTATTTGCTTCTAAGAAGATTAAATACTTTTCCACATGGAACCTTACGCAGTTTATACTTTGGATCACACAACTCTTTACTGGAAAATGAATTAGACAGTGTCCCAAGAGCTGCGTTTGCTTTTCTGCCTTTTTAACTTGTTTCGAAGATTCTTCAGTTTGACGATGTTGAATTTTCCTGAAGAATCTTGAAGCTATATTCGAAAGGTTTCTTTCAGTTTGAAGACACATGTTCTTCTTTTATCTCTTTTAACATGAATATAGAGATGTTTCTGACTAAAAAGCCTGTTGTGTTTGCCTGCTTTTGGTCCATCTCATGCTTGCTTCTCTTTCCAGTTTTTGGCGGGTTAGTGATGAGAATCTTCTTTCCTTTCTGTTGTTTCAATTTAGAGTTTTCTGGATACTTAATAGTTACTAACAAAGAAAGGGTTTCTTCTATATTAACTTCTAAGTATCCAGAAAACTCTAATTTGAAACAAACTCATATTTTTGGTCTGCAGGTTATATGTAAAACATCTTTGACTCGCTGCTTCATACACCTGTGAAATTAGAACCTTGAAAAGTTTCATTTCCTAGCATGGTTAGTGATGCAATGGAGAATATAAGAAGTCAATCAAGGCGTAGTTATGAACTGAGGTTGGAGCAGGAACCACAAGGGAAAGAAGTCTAGTATCTGCCTTGGTGTTTATGCTTTGTTCCTTCAATACTCAAAAATGCACCAGAAGAAGAACTCTTTACACCGAGTATGTGATCTCCATTCACGCTGATAGCATATCCAAATCCAAACAACACCTACCAAGGCATGAGAAGCTGCAGTGCTGGAGACGTACAACTTCGACCTCTTTGTGGCGAACCAACCACAAATTCAGCTAAGCTGGAATAGTCTGACCCTGCCAAGGTAGGAATTCTGTATACACTCTCTGCATTTCAAGCTTTCACTATCTCTATGAGCGGCTCCGGGCACCAAACTGACTTGCAAGCAATTGAACAAACGAAAGTAAACATCAAAATAAAACAGAGCGTGTTATGGTTAGGAACCAAATCTATCAAGTGGTGCTTAAAGTTTACACGTATACTTTTGATGTGATAATCAATGTTTAAAAATGGTAATTTTGACAAAGACTCGAGTTGACGAAAGCTCAAATGGCTGTTTCGTTATTTGTTAAATGGGTTTCTATTCTATATTATCTTAAATCCCGTGGTCAGAAGCATGCCTATTCTTCCCATTTGGTGTTTTCTTGTAGAAGTTACCAACCCTTACGGTATTTGAATCCTTCAGAAAAAGAAAAAAAAAAAAACAAATTGTTAAAGGGAAGCAAACGTAGACGTTGAGATATTATTATATGGCATATGAAGCATACTGCTTCAACGCCCCCCTTGTACTACAAGGACATGTACTTCAATTAACTAACATTAAAGTAGAAAATGTCTTTGCTTTGTAATTGGACAATGGATTATTGATTGTAGATTTTGGAAGCAAACTAAAAGGTGAAATGGGAATGGGTCTCCGAAATTAAATAGATGATTTGAAGAGCCCTTGCTTTTTTTTTTTTTTATAAGAAGCGTCACAGAGATGAACACTAAAAACTGGGATGGGATTGGAGTTGAAACAAAGAGAACTGGGTGTGGAATTATAACGGAATTTGCTTCACTTCTCTTGAGTGGTATATAGCTTCGCAAACGAAGACTCATTTTCTGCTCTTGTAAGCTTGCTTTGATTAAAATGATCTCGAGACTTTGATGTGAGAGATCCTTGTGGTTGTATCAGTGATGAAGGTTGAGAATGTAGTGAGAAAGGAGTGGTTAATATAAGAAGCTCTCTAAGGTTTGTTTTAACTCAACCTCTCAGTAATCAACCGGTTAAGGCTATTTTCATCATTTGCTGTATTATTTTCAACATCTTAATCCAATTTTCTCATTATTAAGCCAGTTTGAGAATGGAGTTGTTGCTAACTATGTGCTTGTAAGAAGATTGAATACTTTTCCACATGGAACCTTAATACTCCAGATAACCTTAGGAACCAAGTCTTCAGAGGTGCTTAACACACTTGACATATATTTTCGAAAATCACTCTGAATACAGCTAATTAATGTTTTAAAAAGGTAATTTTGACAAAGCCTCTAGTTGACGAGAGCTCTCAAATGGTTTCTATTACATATTTATCTTAAGGCATGTTGTAGTCAGATTCTTACCTATTCTTCCCATTTGGTGTTTTACTTGCAACTAATTATGGTATTTGAATCCTTCCACACAAATTTTTTATTGTTAAACTGAAGCAAACGTAGACGTTCGGATAAAATATGGTATCTGAAGCATACTTCAACGCCCCCTTGTATTACACTGACATGGAAAGTAGAAAATGTCTTGGCTATGTATTTGGGCAATGGATTATAGTATTGTAGATTTATGAAGCAAAGTAAAAGGAGGAATGGGAATGGGTCTCCGAAGAAGGTAACGGATGGTTTGAAGAGCCCTGCCTTTTTCTTATAAGAAGTGTTACGTAAATTGGAGAAAACTCAAAGAGGAACAAGTTTGGAGGGATAGAGAGAGAAAGAAAATGAAGTTCCAGGAGGGTGTGTTCTTGGTGGCTATTTTCTTCTTCCTTGGATATACGCAGCTGGTGAAGGGGCAACATCAACCTCGCCACGATTGCCAAACTAGATGTGGCAACCTCACAATTGATTACCCTTTTGGTATTTCTACAGGTTGTTACTATCCGGGAGATGATAGTTTCAATATCAACTGTGAGGAAGATAAACCAAATGTCTTACGCAATATTGAAGTGAGAGACTTTAATCACAGCGGCCAGCTACGCGTTATGCTTAATCGATCTACTGTTTGCTACGACGAAGAAAGAAATAATGAATTCAATGCTTACCAGTATAAGCTGGATAATTTATCTCTCTCCCCCAACAACAAGTTTACTTTAGTAGGCTGTAACGCTTGGGCACTTCTGAGTACTTTTGGAATACAAAACTACTCAACTGGATGCATGTCATTATGCGATTCTCCCCCGCCGCCAAATAGCAAATGTAATGGTGTTGGTTGTTGTAGAACTGACGTCTCTATCCCGTTGGATAGCAATAGAGTTGTAACTAGACCATCTCGCTTCGAAAACATGAGTTCCGTGGAGCACTTTAATCCTTGCAGCTACGCCTTTCTCGTTGAAGATGGTATGTTTAACTTCAGTGCTTTAGAAGATCTTAAGAATCTGAGGAATGTCAAGCAGTTCCCTGTGGTACTAGATTGGTCTATCGGAAACCAGACATGTGAGCAAGTTGTAGGCAGAAATATATGTGGTGGGAACAGCAGATGTTTTAATTCTAGTCGTGGAAAGGGTTATAACTGCAAATGTTTAGATGGTTTTGATGGGAATCCATACCTTTCAGATTCAGACGGCCGCTGCAAAGGTAAATCAAATTAATTTCTTCTTCTTTTGAGTGTAAATTGTTTTTCTCACTCAGTTCTTGTTGCATCTTACGCACTCTTTCCTTGGGCCAGACATCAATCAGTGTACTAGTGGTAAACATAACTGTTCAGATCCCGACACATGTAGAAACAAGGTTGGAGGCTTCTATTGTAAGTGCCCATTTGGTTACAAATTAATTGCAACAACAGAGTCCACTATGCGCTGCAAGAGGCCTGAATATATCATATGGACTCAAATATTTCTCGGTAAACTCCCCGCACTGGTTCTAGATTCTTTCTTTAAATCAACTCGCTCTAATCATGTGTGATGTGATTCAGGAACCACCATCGGCTTCCTGGCCATCCTGCTTGGGGTTAGATGTATACAAAAAAGAAAGAAGCACGGGAAGGAAACTGAGGTACGACAAAAATTCTTCGAGCAAAATGGCGGCGGCATGTTGATGCAGCGACTCTCAGGAGCAGGGCCATCAAATGTTGATGTCAAAATCTTCACTGAGGAAGGAATGAAGGAAGCAACTAATGGTTATGACGAGAGCAGAATCCTGGGTCAAGGAGGCCAAGGAACTGTCTACAAAGGAATATTACCGGACAACTCCATAGTTGCTATCAAAAAAGCTCGGCTCGGAGACAATAGCCAAGTAGAGCAGTTCATCAACGAAGTGCTTGTGCTTTCACAAATCAACCATAGGAACGTGGTCAAGCTCTTGGGCTGCTGTTTAGAGACTGAAGTTCCCTTGTTGGTCTATGAGTTCATTGCTAGTGGCACTCTTTACGATCACTTGCACGGTTCTATGTTTGATTCTTCGCTTACATGGGAACACCGTCTGAGGATAGCCATAGAAATTGCTGGAACTCTTGCGTATCTTCACTCATCTGCTTCTATTCCAATCATCCACCGAGATGTCAAGACTGCTAATATTCTCCTGGATGAAAACTTAACGGCCAAAGTAGCTGACTTTGGTGCTTCAAGGCTGATACCAATGGATAAAGAAGAGCTCGCAACTATGGTGCAAGGCACTCTCGGCTACTTAGACCCAGAATACTACAACACAGGGTTGCTAAATGAAAAGAGCGATGTTTATAGCTTTGGGGTAGTCCTAATGGAACTGCTCTCAGGTCAAAAGGCATTGTGCTTTGAAAGGCCTCAAACCTCAAAACATCTGGTGAGTTATTTTGCCTCGGCCACGAAAGAGAATAGGTTGCATGAGATTATTTATTGCCACGTGATGAAAGAGGATAATCAGAGGGCGATGCAGAAAGCTGCAAGAATTGCTGTTGAGTGTACAAGATTGACGGGAGAAGAAAGGCCAGGGATGAAGGAAGTAGCTGCAGAGCTAGAGGCCCTAAGAGTCACAAAAACCAAACATAAGTGGTCAGATGATCAGTATCCTAAAGCAATGGATACTGAGCACTTGGTTGGTATTCAAAACTTATCAGCACAAGGCGAAACCAGTAGCAGCATTGGCTATGACAGCATCAGGAAGGTAGCAATATTGGACATTGAAGCTGGCCGCTGATATTTCCATCAAACTCTCACTAAATGACTTAACACTGTTGGCCACATTCCGTTCGATCTGATCAGGTTTCTTCCCTCTTCATACTCATATTAAATATTTGATTAAACTTAAATATTTGATTAAACCCTGTAAATAAAAAAGATAACAATCAAAACCTTTGTGCTTGAGACATTCTTGTTTCGCCAGATCATCAATCGTTGTGTTTATAACTCTCCTTTTCATTTGATTAATTATCTCCTTGGTTCTCCTCCAAACAGTGTATCAAATTCTTCGATTTAAGGACGCATATATTGTAACATGGTTTTTTGGGTTGAATAAATTTAACATTCATTAAAAAAAAAAAAAACAGTGTATCAAACATTGCATTCAGGAAATGTATGGATTGGTGGTTTAAGATCATCAATTTTATATTTGTGTGTATATAAATAAATCCCTTTTAATTGGAATGGTACACTTCAGTATCCAATTTGGTATTTGAAGATTTAGAGTTCTTACTCAAAATCAAGAATTCATGAACTTGAATCTATTATGAATATATGATGATGTCTCTCTACGGTGAAAAAAATCGAAATAAAGCATCAAAAGAAAACAGAGCTCAAGAACCTGATTCGTGTTATTTGGCCCGTTTATCAGAGCATGAGCATGATTCGTGTTCTCACACTGCCCTAGTTCTTTGTTAAAACAGATAAAACGCGAAAAGCTTATCCTTCTCACTCTATCTATCGCATCTTTGGCACCGGAAACCGCCGTACATATACTCCGGCGCAGTATATCAAACTCCCGGAATATCATCAGCTCACCGAGTCACTCGAATCAGGGATTCATATGGAAAGACGATACTACCCTCATATCACTGTTTAAAATGTTTAAGGGTGATATCGTAATTTCAGTTCTAAGATTTTGATCCTCCAGTTCTCGAGATTTTTCTCTTGTATGCCTCTAGAGCTTCCTGTAATGAAATCTTTATTATGAGCGATTTTGGTCACATGTTGTTACTTCCCCTATAATTTTGGTAATTTTTCTGATCATCTAATGTAGCTCTCTTTAATTGTTTTAAGCTGAAAACAAATCTCCTTAATGAGCCCCTCTGAATATCTAAAATGTAAAATGTTATTATTTTGGTCCAGTGGTAAAGAAGAGAAAAGTCTCCGCCACCTGGGTTCAAGTAGCATTGGCCACCGGAGTTCGAATTTTAACATGGTTTTCCCGGGCTCCAGGATTAGTTTTTGGGCCTATAAAGCCTTTAGGATCACCTATGTCAAGCAAAGAAGAGAGGACATAGAGAAGTTGACGAAGTTCTTCAAATGATTGACCAATGTAGCAATAATGGACATTGAAACCGGCCGCTAATCTGATGTGTTTAAGAACCTTTATGCTTGAGAGAATATTTTCTCGTGAAAATATCACATGTATTCAAGAGTTTCAGATTGTGAAATATATATCCCCTTCAGAAGTATATAAGTTTGTAACTGGGAATTCAGAGTTCTAATTCAGGATCCCAGTTTCATGAATCGGAAAATCAATCTATGATGTAGTAAAACTAGAAAGGATCAAACACAAAAACAGAGAATGTTATCAACTTATGGTCACCAACCTGCTCCCTAGATCCTTCAAAGGAAGAAAATCTTCGACGTCTTATTCGTAAACCAGAGCATAGGCTTAATTAGAAAGATCGAACCAAGCATTCTTTTCAAAACTGCTTTTACACTCAAGGATAGGCCTGGGCATTCGGATTTCGGATCGGATTCGGTTCGGATTTATTCGGATTCGGATAATTCGGGTAGGAGAGTTTATTATCCGTTCGGATTTTATGACTATTCGGATTGGGTTTGGTTCGGATAGTGTCGAATTCGGATCGGTTTTCGAGAATGAAAAAAAACTAAAAAATGTACAATTTAAATAAAAAAAATAGTTCAATCTTACTAAAATTTGGCCAAGTTTTACAAAAATATGTATAATTTTAACAAATATAACTAAAAAAATTTCCAATATCTAGGTTATTTAAAATATTTTTGTTATTTGTTATAAAATTATAGCTAAATATAACTAATATTTTTGGATATATAATTTTATTTTCGGTTTTCGGATATCCTTTCGGTTTTCGGTTCGGATCGGGTTCGGTTCGGATAATTCGGATAGGAGAATTCATCATGTGTTCAGGTTTTGTCACTATTCGGTTCGGGTTCGGAGCCGGATTTTACGGATCGGTTTTCGGATTTCGGATTTTATGCCCAGGCCTACTCAAAGATATCATTATCCAACATGTTCTAATTGCTACAACATTTCTTACAACAATATCTCCTAATCATGTTCATAATCTAATAAAGTCGTAAAGATAGGTATCAATAACTCAAAAAGAGAAGCCAGCATAGTTGTACTCTTTTCTACTATAAAACGCACAAATGGTTACTCGATAATTCATAAACTCAACTAGACGAGAGCTCAAATGACTATAATTTTTTTGCTGTCAAATGGGTTACTATTCTAAAATATCTAAAGCACATTGTCAGATTCCTTAAACCAACCACAAACCGTTATGATACTTGAATCCTTCTATATAAACCAAAAAAAAATTGTTAAGACGTAACGAAAGGGAAAAGTAGTGACAATGAGAGGGTATTATATGTGCTGAAAAGGAACAATTGAGCTCCCTCTTTCATTACACTGACATTGTCAGATTCTTACTTTTTCTTCCCATCTGAAGATTCCTTCCACCAACCGTTATGATACTTGAATCCTTCTACAGAGAAGAATAAATAATTGTTAGATGTAACCAAAGGGAAATGTAGTAACAGCGAGAGGATATTATATGGGCATTTAAAGCACACTTGGACTCCCCTCTTGCATTACACTAACAATTTCTTCATCACTTGACCTATACTTAAATAGAAAATAATGTCTCGACTCTTGAGAGTGTGGTTGGACATGAATTATATATAGAATTGTAGATTCTCTGGGAATGAGTCTTCCAAGTAAGAAAAAGAGAAGGTCTTAAGAGAGGGATTTGTTTAGTCGTCATAAAAAGCCTTAAATAGATTTAAGAAAAGAAGAAAAAGTTTGGAGAAAAAAGTGTGTTGATCAGGAAAGAGAGAGAGAGAGAGAGAGAGAGAGAGAGAGGGAGAGAGAGAAATAGGTAGAAGATGAAGCTGCAGGGTCTGTTGTTCGTGGCAATTTTTAATCTTGCTTATACCCAGCTGGTGAAGGGGCAACCTCGCCAGGATTGCCAAACTAGATGTGGCAACGTCACAGTTGAATACCCTTTTGGCACTTCTCCAGGTTGTTACTATGCCGAAGATCCTAGTTTCCATCTCCCTTGTAACCAGACAAAGAAAATGTTCGTTGATGACATGGAAGTGATAAGCATTTCTCAGGGCGGCCAGCTACGCGTCTGGTCTCCTGTAACATACGCATGCTACAACAACAAAGGACATCTCACAAATGACACTAGCAGACTTTTTGGCCTGGGTAATCTCTCTCTCTCCAACAACAACATACTCACTGGAGTAGGGTGCACCAGTTACGTGTATCTGAGAGGTTATGGACGTAAAATTCAAACAATTGGTTGCATATCAGGGTGTGGATATCTCCCGGAAAAAGGATCATGTTCTGGTGAAGGTTGCTGCCAGATCCCTATCTCTAAAAATATTAGCAGTATTTATAGGGTCTTGCCACGTAGGTTTGAGGGACAGTCTAATGATTTCGAAAACTTTAATCGTTGCACCTACGCATTTCTCGTTGAAACTGGTAAGTTTCACTTCTCTGCTTTGGAAGATCCGAAGGATATGCGGAACGTCACAGAGTTCCCTGTGGTACTAGATTGGTCTATTGGAGAAAAGACATGCGAACAAGTTGGAAACAAAAGCATATGCGGTGGGAACAGCACATGTTCTGATTCTACACGTGGAGAAGGGTACATCTGCAAATGTAAAGACGGCTACGACGGGAATCCCCACATTCCAAACGATTGCCAAGGTACTTCAACTTTTTCTGTTGCTCACTAATGTTGGTGTTTTCTTCTCACAGATTTCTCTTCTTCCTTTGTCAGACATCAATGAGTGTACTGAGGATAAACATAACTGTGGGAACGAAAAATACTGTATGAACAAGGAAGGATCCTTTGAGTGTAAGTGCCCATCTGATTACCGCTTTGATATTGCAAAGGGCTGCACACGTAAAGAGTCTAAAGACTTTCAATGGACTCCCATTCTTCTTGGTAAGCTCCCCTCACCTATTAAATTGCATGGCAGGGCATAAAACCATGTTTTAATTTTATGTTTTGGCAAAGTGAGAATTGGTTTTCAAGTTTTGACAATTTAGCCAAAATCTGACCATTTTACCTCTGCCAGCATAACTATGTACTGTTTATTGTACGGTTCAGTTATGCGGTTCAATTACGTACACTGTTCCGGTTAGGCAATATATTTTCGTTTTTTATTGATTTTTGCAGTTGTACAGTAAAAAATGGGGATTAATAATATTAAAAAACAATGAAACATCAGGATTTAATGCCCAAAAAAGTTTAGACATGACTCATGTCACAATTAATGCAAAGTCATCATTACTTTTTCTAATATTAGTTTATATGTGTGAATAGTTGTAAGAGATAAACATGATCCATCAAACAAACAAATTAGTCTGAACCAATGTGATGTTGGAGAAGTTTTGATCTTCTTGATTTACAAAGTTTAGAGCCAAGACAAGCATTGATCGTGTAAGTAATGAAATTGGTTAAGAAGTTTTTTGTTATAACACACTAGGGTCTTGATTGTGTTCGAAATCAACATTGTTTTTATATAAAAACCCAGAATATTGTTATTTTCAATTTTTTTAGTTGAAAATGCTAAATGAGGATAGATTTATGTATATAAATGTGTAGTTGGGAATTCTTTTTGTTTTTTGTAGATATAATCATGCTTTCATTTGCATTTAATGGGGTTCTGCTGAATTTATGATGCATGTGGATAATGGATATTCCCGTATTTACTATGGTGGGTGAGTGGAGATTCAAAGAAGAAGAATTGAAATTTGAACCATGGGAAGGCTGGTTAATTTGGTCGTTGTGTACGTTTAATGAAACCATGACGTACACTGAATTTGTACGTATATTATGCGAGGTTTTCAGTTTGAAGTCCACCGAATGCAATCCAATAATTAGTTACTGAATGCCGGGAAAGATGTCAGTGATGATAGAAAGTAAATGCCCTCCTGTCTACATTGTCAATCAAATGAGCCTGGATACCTTCTTTTTGATTCGTGGTGGGGATCCTAGTGTCACTTTGTTTGTCTCTTTCATTACAAAGGCACTCGGGAATACTGTCCCTAGGACCGATGGTGACGATGGTGAGAGTTACCGTGTGTGTGGGAGTACAACGACACCAAATCCCATCGTAGCGGCTTCAAATGTAGATGGAAATAATGAGGCCGTAGATGAGCAAGACGACGTTGAAGACGATAAAACAGATGAGAATGAAGAAGAGGAGGAGGATAACGAAGATGGTGCTGGGTATGATGATTATCAGGGTGATGATGGATCTATGGGGGGGAAGTACCCTCGATCCTACTATAGACGGTAGTGAAGGCAGTGGCGAAGATTACGATTACAACAAGTGGAACGATGTAATTGTTGAAGAATATGGAATAAGGAATGTTGAGGAGGACGTCATTCTCACTCAACAAACGGTTCAACATCCAGGAGAATCCAGTCGTCTATTGGCAGAGTGTACGTACACAAGTCATCGTGTACCTGGCGGAGATAACTCGGTTGACCGTACACCAACCGAGTCTCCAAGACGTACGTGTCAACATGGTTTGTACTAATGTACGTACACAACAGAATGTGTACAAGATACAGGCTGCGAAGGTAACACCGATACCAATATTTCCACTCCTTACCATCCTCAAACAAGTGGCCAAGTGGAAATTAATGGTATAGACAAAGTCTCTGGGAATGATGTTATCGACCATGGTATTGGAGCTTCCCCAAGTGGGACACTGAATCGGCTAGTTACTGCACCTGGCGGAGATAACATTTCTCATTCGGGTGACCGTACACCAACCGTGACTCCAAGACGTACGTGTCAACATGGTTTGTGCTAATTTACGAGATGATGAGACACAAGTTGAACTGAGTACGACAGGTGAGACTTTGTATGTGGGGAGTGTTTTTAAGAACAGAAAAGTCATACGACAAACAATGTATAATGATAGAGTTCATTCGAGAGGTCCTAATGCGATGGTTCGCAGCGAAGAGAAAAAAAGTGGCTAGGTGTAAATCTTTAGTGACGCCTGAGGTTGATGAGCGTTTTCTCCAAGATTTGCCTGCGTCGGGGAAATACGCGGTGAAGATGTCTGGACCGTGGAGTTATCAAGTTACAAGCAAGTCAGGTGATCATTGTCATGTTGTTCTGGACGAGTGTACGTGTACGTGTCTTAGGTACACAAAGTTAAGAATCCCATGTGAACACGGTCTAGCAGCGAAAATAGAATTTGGAATTAATCTGAAGGTTGTTGTCGGTTGGTGCTATGGCATTCAAACGTTTTCTGATTCTTTCCAAGAACCGATTCTACCTATCGCGGATCGGAAGGATGATGTCATCCCACAAGATATATCGGATATGATATTGATTCCTCCATACAGTAGACGACCACCAGGGAGACCAACCACCAAAAGGATGGTGATACCATCCAGGGATGAAAACTGGGTAAGTTTTAACATTCTAACATGTGCACATATTTGCCTATATCTATGTTTAGAGTATAAGATGCGTCGTTTGTTAACTTATTGTTGTTGTCACTACTGGAAAAAAAACAAAACAGAAAGACTCTTTCTGGATCAGTGTACAAGATGTAGACAAGCAGGTCATAACAAGAAGACTTGCAAAAATCCTATTTAGTTTTATGTCCTTGTTTTTTGGTACCGTGTAGACAGTGTACGTTTATGTCTGGACCATGTGTACCATATTTTTTGTCGGTGTACGTACGTTTAATGTTTGCCATCATATAACTATGTACGTTTCTGATATGTCTGTGTACATAAAATAATTCGATATTTTTATGAGAATTGCCCCTCCCTTGGTACAATACTTCTCTTTTCCTGATTCCATAAGCCAATCACCTCTATAAACTTTTGTTGGGAAAGAAGCCCTAAAATCGCCTCCATCGCCTTTCTCTCACTACATGAATATTGATCTTTCGCAGCGTCCAAAAAACGCTATCTAACGATACTATTGCGTTTTAACAAACGCTCTATCATCGCCCGTTATAGTAGATCGAAGACATAATATAGCAGTTTTTTTCATTGCTATCATATTTTCATTAAATATAGTGTTTTTTTTTAATATGCAATTATATATTTTATATGGATCTGATTTTAATTTATAATTTTAAATTTTGATTTTTATTTTGAATTACGAATTCAAAAAAATCTAATTTTAATTTATAAACTAGGATCGGACCCGCGGTCTACCGCAGGAGAATATTGATTTACATACGTTAATTTTAATATTGTGCGTGTTTTTAGTAGAACGAATCGTGTAATGTACTTATAAATATTCCTAATAACAAATTGTAAAGAAAATATTAAAGTGTTTATAATTAAACCAATCGTATTAATTATGATTTATAAAATGGAATTTTGTGTTTTAGAATTCAAAAATTAGACGAATCATGAGAATTAAAGCAGTCAAAATAGGTCAAAAATCGTGGGTCGAGCCCAAATCATCTCACTATAGGCCAGATTTGGGAAAATATATTAAACCCGCAAATAAGCGGGCCACATGGATTGATTCGCAGTGGGTCATCGGTTTTTGTCCGGGGGTTGGCGGATCAACCCGCATGATAGTATTTATTGATAAAAATATAATTTATTCAACATGTGGTAGTTTAAAAAACTTTTAATAAATGAAATTATAATATTTATAAATATAATGATATATAAGATTATTTTCTCTAAAAACATTTTAATTTATTTATTTTAGTAGAATTTTAAATTTTGGTTACTCTAAAATTATTTAAACAAAATCCACAGATAACCCTGCAAATCAGCATACATTCGCGCGACGGGGTTGTGTTTCATATATGCTACCCGCGGGTCGTGCAGACAGACTAACTACATGCCAAACTATATTTTGCCTATTGCAAAACAGGCTTAACGGGTCGAATCAACTCGTTTTGACAGCTCTAATGGAAATATTATTTAGTCATACAATTCAATGGAGTTTGGACATAGGAATTATAGAATATGTATCTTATTTGTTAGATTAGAGATTGAAAGGTGAAATATAATGATTAAAAATAATTAATATTAAGGTGAAATATAATAATTAAAAATAATTAATATTTTTCATGATTCACAAAATTTAATAAATATTTATCATCTTGTTGAATAATTCTAAAAATCATATTCAAGAAATCTTTATAATTTGAAAATTAAACTTCTTTGGTAAACTATAAGTATGATTGTATGAAAATACCATAATTTCGATAAATTAAAATTAGTTACATAGATTTCATATCTATTTAATTTACACGACCAAAATAAAAATATCTATTTAATTAATTTATAAAATAGATGGGTTAGTTGTGATAAATTTTTTAGAAATCTCTAGAAGCAAGTAAGATATCTTTTAATTAATGATAACTGGCTAAAATAAGCAAAATTAATGAGAAAAACGTTGATTGTTATGGAATTAGTTCCAAAAGTATATGAACAAATATATTATACGTAATTAATGTATAATATTGTTCGGAATATGATTTTATAATTAGTTACCATAAGTACAATCAAATTTTATTTGATTTCCATAAACATTTGATTTTAGTTCGATTTTTCATTATTAATTCGAATTTATATTTCAAAAAAATTTCAAAGATCCGATTTCAGAATTTCGGATCAATTTTCTGATTTTGACCTGACCCATTTACATTTGTACTTCTCTTTTAATAGTATAGAGATAGAAAAGGTAATAATTTAAAACAAAATTTACAAAATATATTTTGTATGAGAAATAATAACTAAAATATCACAAAAAAACAAAAAATATCTTCTACTCTTTCTCTCCGAATCCCTTTGCCTTCTCTTCAATTCTCTGCAGATCTTCAAGTCTTTGAATACCCTTTGCCTTCTCTTCAATTCTCTGCAGAACTTAATTCTTTGAATACCTGAAAGACTTCCATATTCTTCAGATTCCGATCATCCTATCAATAAAACTTAGCAACATATAAATCAAAATCTGTAAATAACAAGATTTCATTGAAAAGAACTCATACAAATCAATCATCACAAAATCAGGAAAAATTGAGACACTAACCTCATCAAGGCCTTTAGGACCAAAGACTAACAAAGCGACAACACCAATAACTAAAGCCTCAGGTGCTCCAACAGCAAACAAAGACGCAAAATTCATCGTACACTTACATCTTCTCTTCTTCTCTGTACACAATTACCCAAACCTCAGAAAAGTGAACATCTTTACAAATACCCAGAAACAAAAAAGAATCAATTTTGAAGATTTGGGAGAAGAACCCATGAGAGAAAACCATGAAGAGAGGTTAGGCTTCGAAGCTTGAAACTTTGTAACGGTTTCGAAGATCTGGGTTTAGAGGAAATTGAACTAAGAGAGGATCTCCTTAGTGGATATAGGATTAGGGTTTCAAAGAGGCGGAGGCGGCGGTAACTGAGATTGAACAGAGGAACGAAGGCAGCGGAAAACGGAGAGGAAAATAGAGCGATTGGGAGAGACATCGAAGAACTTAGATGTCAGAACTGTTGGTGAAGAGCTTGGGCTCTCGACGATTCGAAAGAAAACCACAATATTGGTCCCTTCCCATGACCAGAACCTTTCAAACGGGTCACCGAACACCACCGCAATCAACCTAAGAACCCTAGAATCCAATTGATACCCACAGATCCGACCATTGAAACTCCATGGAGGACCAAAAATAAACCGATCCAAATGCCTCTGATCGAAAACCATCATTGTTGGGAAAGAAACCCTAAAATCGCCTCCATCACCTCTCTCTCTCTCTCTCTCGTTCTTCTTCTTCGTTTCTGCGCAAGATTTTTTTTTTAATTCAAAACCAAATCGTAAAACAAAGAAAAAGTAACTAAACCGAAACCAACTGTGCCATTTGGTTTAAGTCATTAGGGGTATTTTCGTCAGATTTTGACTTAATTGTCAAAACGTAAAAACCAAATCTCACTTTACCAAACACTGAGAGAAAATCTTTTTTTCAGCAGAAACGTGAAAATTTCTTTCTAGATTATTGGTTTTCTCAAACAACTCAACTCTAAGTATATCCGTTTATGTGCTATGCAACCAGGAACCACCATTGGCTTCTTGGTCCTCCTGCTTAGCGGGTTCTGTATAAATTATGGGCTAAGGCACCAGAAGGATACCAAACTCCGACATCAATTTTTCGAGCGAAACGGTGGTGTCATGTTGAGAGAGCGACTCTCGGGAGCAGGGTCATCAAATGCTGATATTAAAATCTTTACTGAGGAAGGAATGAAGACAGCAACTAATGGTTATGACAAGTTCAGAATCTTGGGTGAGGGTGGCCAAGGAACAGTCTACAAAGGGATATTGCAAGACAACTCCGTAGTTGCTATAAAGAAAGCTCGGCTTGGAGACAGTAGCCAGGTAGAGCAATTCATCAACGAAGTGCTTATGCTTTCACAAATCAATCATAGGAATGTGGTCAAGCTCTTGGGTTGCTGTCTAGAGACTGAAATTCCCTTGTTGGTTTATGAGTTCATTACCAATGGAACCCTTTTCGATCACTTGCACAATTCCATGTTTGATTCTTCTCTAACATGGGAACACCGTCTGAGGATTGCCGTAGAAATCGCTGGAACTCTTGCATATCTTCATTCATCTGCTTCTATTCCAATCATCCACCGTGATATCAAGACTGCTAACATTCTCTTGGATGAAAACTTAACTGCAAAAGTAGCCGACTTTGGTGCTTCAAGGCTGATACCGATGGATAAAGAGCAGCTTACAACAATGGTGCAAGGTACTTTGGGTTACTTAGACCCAGAATACTACAACACGGGATTGCTGAACGATAAGAGCGATGTTTATAGCTTTGGAGTAGTCCTCATGGAACTACTCTCAGGTCAAAAGGCTATATGCTTTGAACGGCCACCACACTCAAAACATTTAGTAAGTTACTTTGCCTCTGCTAGGAAAGAGAACAGGTTGGATGAGATAATTGACAGGCAAGTGTTGAATGCGGATACTCACAAAGATATTCAAGAAGTGGCCAAAGTGGCTGTTTGGTGTACTAGATTGACGGGAGAGGAAAGGCCAAGGATGAAAGAAGTAGCTGCAGAGCTTGAGGCCTTGATTGTCAAGACAACCAAACATGGGAAGTTGGATCAATTTCCTGAACCTGAGGAAATTAAGCACTTGCCCGGTGGTCACATCTTCTCTGCGCAAAACGATACCAGCTGCAGTAATTATGACAGCATCAACAATGTACCAAACCTGGACATTGAAGCTGGCCGCTGATATTTCTCAATCCACCTCCTCACTAAATGCTTTGGCCGTTGGCCACATTGTGTTTGTTTTATATTTGATTTCTTATCTCCTTTCTCTCCTCCAAAACATGTAAAAATCAGTGTATCAAAACATGGCATTCAATAATTGTATGGTGGTTTGAGATAATCAATCATTGTGTATATAAACCCCTTTTAACTGGTATGATTCACTTCAGTATCCGATTTGGTACTTGACTGTATTTATTATGAATTTATGAGATTCTAAACAAAGCATCAAAAGAAAACAGAGCTCAGAAACCTGATTCCTCTGTTTGTGAAAAGTAAGTCATTTCTTTATTGCTTATCTAGTTATCTCCCTTTTGTCTTCCTAAACATTTAAAACCCAGAGCATCAAACCATGACATTCAACAACATTTATGCTTAAGAGATCATATTAGATCATCAATCCTCAACTTAAGCAGAGATATTGATAAACCATAGTATTTATAAAACAACAACTCAAGAAGCAACACTAAGAGTCTAAAGAAAACATAGAGAAAAGTTATTATGATCATCAACCTGATTCCTAAATTCTTCATCTCAGGGTCGATTTCATCATCGATTCTGCTTTATCTAACAGAACAAAAGCTTGATGAAGAGACGGAGGAGGATTCATAAGCATGATCTGCGTTCTCACATAGCTTAAACCTTTATCCAAGCCCATCAGGAACGCGTAAAGCTGCTCATTCTCTCTCGCATCTTTAGCTCGTTTCGCAATCTCGCAGTTACAACAACCGCACAAACACTCCGGCACAGGATCATACTCCAACAACTCAACCCAAGCTCTCATAAACTTGGCGAAATATCTACCCACAGAGTCACCATCTTGCCTCAACACTCAGTACAAATACCACTCGGAGATCTTCCCAAGCTTTATGCGCAGTCTCCGCGAACGATACATAGCTTCGAAGCTCTTCGCTTAACGAACTCATCATCCAAGTCTTGAATCTCGCGTTACATGTTTCCCATGGATGATAGAGCGGCGAGGAAGGGTCCGGTTTCTCGACTGTACTATCGATGAACCCGGTTTTGCTCTTGCTTTGAAGAAAAAGGAGAAAATCATTCTTCCAGATGAAGTAGTTGTCTTCGGATTTGCTGAGTATAGCTATAGGAAGATTCTCGTTGGATTGATAATCAGGATCGAGATAATAGGTAGATTCTGGATCGAGTGTGGGAGATTCCGCCATTGTTACTGTGACTTGCTCTGCTTTGAGCTCTCTCGTTACTGTTTGATTTTAGGGTTTGCTTTTTATTCCTTTCGATTTCTATATATATAAATAGATGGGCTTCAAATGGGCTTTAGATATCTTCAACTGAGCCCAAAATTTCAGGGCTTATTACATCTTCCGCCTCAATTGATAATTATGTGTTGCGTGGTATGTACGTAACTCCAAAAAATTAAAGGACGGCTTCATACTTCATATCTGATCCACACCTCTACAATACCTCTATGTATTTATCATCAGAGAAGTGTATTTTTCAGTTTTTCTCTTAAGATTTTTTTGCACTTTCTTGGAATAACTCCGGCTTCTTTTGGCAAAACGTGGTGGATTTGCATTAAAATATCGAATAGAGTTAGTCTCTTGAAGATAATCAAAATGATTGACCAATGTGGCCACTACTCTTTTTTAATGGTCAAATGGTTTCTATCAATTATCAAAATATATAGTTTACTACTCCCTCCGTATTTTAATAAGTGTCGTTTTAAGATTTTCTTTTTTTAAAAAATTAGATGTCGTTTTCAAATTTCTATGCAAATTTTTTTACTTTTTAATGTTTTATGATATCATAAAACATTAAAAAGTAATAAATTTTGTATAGAAATTTGAAAACGACATCCAATTCAAAAAAATAAAAATTCTAAAACGACACTTATTAAAATACGGAGGGAGTATTAGATAATAATATCTTAAGCTTATAGTCTGCATATTTAACATTTCTTCACATTTGAAGATTCCTTGCTACTACCAACCATCCTAATCTTTAAATACCACCAAAAAAAGGTCACTGTTAAACGGGAGCAACGCAGACGTTGTGATGTAATATGGAAATATTGTGGAGCATATTTGAAAGTCCTCCATGAATTACATTGACATGGTCTTGCTTATGTAGTTGGAATTTAGTATTGCAAATTTCTGCAATTTGTATGAAGATGGCAACGGGTCAGCGAACACGAATCAAGAAAACATCTCAAAACTGAGGTTTGTTTCCTATTAAAGGAAGCCTCATAGAATTGGTGAAAAAAAAAAAAAAAAAACGCAAAAGAGAAACAAAGTTAGAATACTAAAGAAAGAAAAAGAGAAAAAGGGAGAAGATGAAGGTGCCTAGTCTGTTTTTGGTGGCTATTTTTTTCTACCTTGCATATACGCAGCTGGTCAATGGGCAACCTCAACCTCGCCACGATTGCCAATCTAGATGTGGTAACGTCACAATTGATTACCCTTTTGGTATTTCGACAGGTTGTTACTACCCCGGAGATGATAGTTTCAATATCACCTGTGAGGAAGGTAAACCAAATGTTTTAGGCAACATTGAAGTGATAAACTTTAATTACAGCGGCCAACTGCGCGGTCTGCTTCCTCGATCCACTGTTTGCTACGACCAGCAAACAACTACTGAATTCGAGTCCCTCTGGTTTCGGTTGGATAATTTATCTTTCTCCCCCAACAACAAGTTTACTTTAGTAGGCTGTAACGCTTGGGCACTTCTGAGTACTTTTGGAATACAAAACTACTCAACTGGATGCATGTCATTATGCGATTCTCCCCCGCCGCCAAATAGTAAATGTAATGGTGTTGGTTGCTGCAGAACAGAGGTCTCTATCCCGTTGGATAGCCATAGAATTGAAACTCAACCAGCTCGCTTCGAAAACATGACTTCCGTGAAGCACTTTAATCCTTGCAGCTACGCTTTTTTCGTTGAAGACGGTATGTTTAACTTCAGTTCTTTAGAAGATCTTAAGAATCTGCGAAATGTCACAAGGTTCCCTGTGTTACTAGATTGGTCTATTGGAAACGAGACATGTGAGAAAGTTTTAGGCAGAAACATATGTGGTGGGAACAGCACATGTTTTGATTCTAGTCGTGGAAAGGGTTATAACTGCAAATGTTTAGATGGTTTTGATGGGAATCCTTACCTTTCAGACGGCTGCCAAGGTACTTCATATTCATTTCTTTTTCTTCCTTTCTTCTTTTGAGTGTTGAATGTTTTCTTCATACATACATTTCTTGTTGCATCTTTTCCTTGGACAAGACATCAATGAGTGTACTACTCGTAGACATAATTGTTCGGATACTAGCACCTGTGAAAACACGCTTGGAAGCTTCCATTGTAAGTGCCCATCTGGTTATGACTTAAATACCACTACTATGAGCTGCAGTGACACACCTAAAGAAGAGCCTAAGTACTTAGGATGGACTACTGTTCTTCTTGGTAAGCTCCCTTTACTCGTTTTCGATTAATATGTTTTCCAGAATAACTCTGGTCTTATGATCTTTGTTTGTCTGTCATGTGATCAGGAACCACCATTGGCTTCTTGATCATCCTGCTTATCATTAGCTATATACAACAGAAAATGAAGCACCGGAAAAACACCGAGCTGCGACAACAATTCTTTGAGCAAAATGGTGGCGGCATGTTGATACAGCGACTTTCAGGAGCAGGGCCATCAAATATTGATGTCAAAATCTTTACTGAGGAAGGCATGAAGGAAGCAACTAATGGTTATGATGAGAGCAGAATCCTGGGGCAGGGAGGCCAAGGAACAGTCTACAAAGGGATACTGCCAGACAACTCCACAGTTGCTATAAAGAAAGCTCGGCTTGGAGACCGTAGCCAAGTAGAGCAGTTCATCAACGAAGTTCTAGTTCTTTCACAAATCAACCATAGGAACGTGGTCAAACTCTTGGGCTGCTGTCTAGAGACTGAAGTTCCCTTGTTGGTCTATGAGTTCATTTCCAGTGGCACTCTTTTCGATCACTTGCACGGTTCTATGTTTGATTCTTCGCTTACATGGGAACACCGTCTGAGGATAGCGATAGAAATCGCTGGAACTCTAGCGTATCTTCACTCCTCTGCTTCTATTCCAATCATCCACCGAGATGTCAAGACCGCTAATATTCTCTTGGATGAAAACTTAACTGCAAAAGTAGCTGACTTTGGTGCTTCAAGGCTGATACCGATGGACCAAGAGCAGCTCACAACAACGGTGCAAGGAACTCTTGGCTATTTAGACCCAGAATACTACAACACAGGGCTTCTGAACGAAAAGAGCGATGTTTATAGCTTTGGGGTAATCCTCATGGAACTGCTCTCAGGTGAAAAGGCTTTGTGCTTTGAACGGCCACAGACCTCAAAACATCTAGTGAGTTACTTTGTTTCCGCCATGAAAGAGAATAGGTTGCATGAGATTATTGACGGTCAAGTTATGAACGAGTATAATCAGAGGGAGATCCGAGAATCTGCAAGAATTGCGCTTGAGTGCACAAGAATTACAGGAGAGGAAAGGCCAAGTATGAAAGAAGTAGCTACAGAGTTAGAGGCCTTGAGAGTCAAAACAACGAAACATCAGTGGTCAGATCAATATCCCAAGGAGGTTGAGCATTTGGTTGGTGTTCAAATCTTATCGGCGCAAGGTGATACCAGTAGCATTGGCTATGACAGCATCATGAATGTAACAAGGTTGGACATTGAAACTGGCCGCTGATATTTATCAATCTTTTGTTTGTGAAAAAGTAAAGCCATTTCTTTATTGCTTGTGTCCTAACACTTAAAAAACAGAGTATCAAAACATGATATTCAAGAACATTTATGCTCGAGAGATCCGTTGTAGATCATCAATTATTCTGTTTATAACTCCATTTGATTGGTAAGGCGGTATGAGAAAATTAAGAGTTCATGAATCTACTAGCAGAGATATTGATATACTGTTGTGGTTGCAAAACAATAACTCGAATTTAAAGGACTCAGTTGCTTAAGACTTCCTAGGTTATCCACAGCTTGACTCATATATTATTTGTCACATGTTATCTCAAATTTAATATTGCATTTTCTAACTTAACTTATCATTCTTGCTGCATAAGATCGCTCTGGTTTTGTAACCGTCACATTTTTTTTTGGTTAAAAAATTATGCTCTTTAACCATAAGAAATATTGAGAAAACATAACGAAATTTGGTGGATCTGAGATGCAAATGATTACAAAGATGCAGTTATATATATATCCTCGAGCAACAAGACGAAGACACAAATGTAAACAAGTTAATATATGATTTTGGAATCAGATCAGTAATAGACAAGCATATGCACTACTACATGAGAAGTAAAAACTAGTAAACGAGAAATCTTTAATTTCAAGATGCGTGGTATGCACGTAACTCCAAAAGGCTCATTTGCTTCAAACTTCCTATTTGATCAACAACTTCAATCATATATTGCTTTGTTACTGTATCTAAAATTTTAATATTGCATTTTTTAAATCAAATTATCATTCTTGCTGCATAAGATTGTTCAGGTTTTGTAACCATCAAATTTTCTTTTTTTTTGTTAAAACTCTGTTCTGGTTTTGTAACCATCAAGATTTTCTCTCAGTTTCTTGGAATGACTTTGGTTTCTTTTGGTGGAAGTGGTGGATTTGCATGGAAATTTCTCATAGAGAACGTCTTGAAGAGTAAGCAGCGACATGACACATGAGGCAAGAACTATTCAAATGCTTCAAGAACTTGTTGACATTTATTACTCAATATCATCCACACACACAAAAAAAACTACATATACCATTATGACAGCAGAAGAAAACAGAGCATGTTGTGATCATGAGTCTTATTCCTACCTTGTCACTACAACGCAACAACTTTCATATTTGAACAATAAATTGTTTTGAGGTGGAAATTCTTGTTACGAAAAGGGTTAAGTTTCCTGGTAATATCAAGAAAAGGAAGAGAGGACAGAGATTGAAGTTGACGCATTTAAATTTCTTGAACGTGTAGTAGTCTGAATCTTTACTTTTCTTCACATTTGATTATTCAACAATGTCAAAACAGGGGTTTGAATTCAAGCTATAAGAAGCGAATAAGCGATGAGAAAACTCAAAGAGAAACACATTTTGAGAGAAAGAAAGAGAAAGGTAGAAGATGAAGTTACAGGAGGGTGTGTCCTTGGTGGCTATTTTCTTCTCCCTTGCATATACGCAGCTGGTTAAGGGGCAACATCAACCTCGCGATGATTGCCAGACTAAATGTGGCAACATCAAAATCGAGTACCCTTTTGGCATTGCTTCTGGTTGTTACTATCCCGGAGATGATAGTTTCAATCTCACCTGCGACGAGAAAGAGAAGCTCTTCATAGGCATCAACGTCGAAGTGGTGAACTTTAATGACAGCGCCCAGCTAAGTGTTCTGTTCTACCGATTTTCTGAATGCATCGACGAGCAGAGTAATGAGACTAATGGAACTGCCCTCGAGTATCAGCTGGGTGGTAGTTTCTCTTTCTCCTCCAAGAACAAGTTTACTTTAGTAGGCTGTAACGCTTTAGCACTTCTGAACACTTTTGGGAAGCAAAACTACTCAACTGGATGCTTGTCATTATGCGATTCTCAACCAGAGGCAAATGAAATACGTAATGGTGTAGGTTTCTGCCAAACAGACGTCTTTGATGGCTATAAAGTCCAATTTGGCTCAGCTCGCTTAGCAAACCAAATTAATCATTCCCTAGTTTATACTTCGGTATATCAATTTAATCCTTGCACCTACGCTTTTCTCGTTGAAGATGGTAAGTTTGACTTCTCTGCTACGGAAGATCTTAGGGATCTGCGGAATGTCACGGATTTCCCTGTGGCACTGGATTGGTCTATTGGAAACCAGACATGCGAGCAAGCTGGAAGCACAAGCATATGTGGTGGGAACAGCACATGTTTTGATTCTACTACTAGGCCCGGATATGTCTGCAAATGTAAAGGCGGTTACCATGGGAACCCCTACCATCCAGACGGTTGCCAAGGTACTTCATACTAATTTCTTTCTTCTTTCTTTCAAGTGTTAATTGTTTTTTTCTTACGTTTTTTGTTGCCTCGATCTTGTTCACTTTTTTCTTTGGCCAGACATCGATGAGTGTATTATTGATACACATAACTGTTCGGATCCCAAAACCTGTAAAAACAAGGATGGAGGCTTCGATTGTAAGTGTCCATCTGGTTACAACTTAATTACCACTATACACTCCACTATGAAGTGCACGAGGCCCGAATACATTAGACGGACTCAAAGTTTTCTTGGTAAACTCCCTTCACTGGTTCTAGATTCTTTCTTTAAATCAACTCCATCTAATCATCTATGTATTATGTGATCAGTAACCACCATCGGCTTCTTGGTCCTCCTGCTTGCCGTTATCAGTACACAACACGCAACAAAGCACCGGAAGGATGCCAAGCTCCGACGACAATTCTTTGAGCAAAATGGCGGCGGCATGTTGATACAGCAAATCTCAAGAGTAGGGTCATCAAACATTGATTTCAAAATATTTACTGAGGAAAGCATGAAGGAGGCAACTAATGGTTATGATGAGAGCAGAATCTTGGGTCAGGGAGGCCAAGGAACAGTCTACAAAGGGATATTGCCAGATAATTCCACAGTTGCTATAAAGAAAGCTCGGCTTGGAGACCGCAGCCAAGTAGACCAATTCGTCCACGAAATGATCGTGCTTTCACAAATTAACCACAGGAACGTGGTCAAGCTCTTGGGTTGCTGTCTAGAGACTGAATTCCCCTTGTTGGTCTATGAATTCATTACCAGTGGCACCCTTTTCGATCACTTGCACGGTTCCATGTTTGATTCTTCTCTTACATGGGAACACCGCCTAAGGATAGCGATAGAAGTCGCTGGAACTCTAGCATATCTTCACTCTGCTGCTTCTGTTCCAATCATCCACCGAGATGTCAAGACTGCTAATATTCTCCTGGATGAAAACTTAACTGCAAAAGTAGCTGACTTTGGCGCTTCTAAGCTGATACCAATGGATAAAGAGCAGCTAACAACTATGGTGCAAGGCACTCTCGGCTATTTAGACCCAGAATACTATACCACAGGGCTTCTGAACGAAAAAAGTGATGTTTATAGCTTTGGGGTAGTCCTCATGGAACTGCTATCAGGTGAAAAGGCATTGTGCTTTGAAAGGCCAGAGACTTCAAAACATCTGGTGAGTTACTTTGCCTCTGCCACGAAAGAGAATAGGTTGCATGAGATTATTGATGGCCAAGTGATGAACGAGGATAATGAGAGGGAGATCCAGAAAGCTGCAAGAATTGCTGCTGAGTGTACAAGAATAATGGGAGAGGAAAGGCCAAGGATGAAAGAAGTAGCTGTAGAGCTAGAATCTTTGAGCGTCAAAACAACCAAACATAAGTGGTCGGATCAGAATCTTGAGGAGAATGAACACTTGCTAGGTGGTCACATCGTGTCTGCACAAGGCCATACCAGTAGCCGTGGTTATGACAGCATCAAGAATGTAGCAAGCTTTGACATTGAAGCTGGCCGCTGATAAAATCACATGTATATATATCTTTGTTTGTGAAAAGTATTGTTATTTCTTTATTGCTTATCTCCTCTTTGTTTTTCTAAACATGCTTATCAAAACATGACATTCAACAACATTGAGATCCTTGTAGATCATCCACTGCTTCACTCATATATTGTTTTGTTATATGTCATGTAAAATTTAATATTGCATTTTCTAAATTAATTTATCATTATTGCTGCATAAGATTGCTCTGGTTTTGTAACCATCAAATTTTCTTTTTTTTTGTTAAAAAATTATGTTCTTTAACCATAAGAATAGAGAAAACATAAATTATTTTGGGGATTCGAGAAAAACACTCGGAGTCAACGTGATCGATAATATGATGGAATGATTACAAAGATGCAGTTATATATATAGACGAAGACAAAATGTAAACAAGTTAATATATGTTTTTGGAATCAGATCAGTAATAAACAAACATATACACTACTAGTCTGCTACATGAGAAGTAAAAACTAGTAAACGAAAAGTCTCAAAACTCAAGATGCGTGGTAACTTCCTATTTGATGAACAACTTGACTCATACGTATATTGCTTTAGTACGTGAACTTCTTATATGGCCAATTTAAATATGAAGTAAACGTTGACCGACTAATTTAAACATGAAGTATTCGTTGACCAGGCCAAAAACCACACGCCGTTATCTATCGTTAACAGATCTGATAACAGCCGTTTAACTCTCGTTAACGGTTCCGTTATTGCCTAAACGACGTCGTTTTGGGCTTAATCTAAACCCCGAAAATCCCCAAATTGATTTTCAAATCCCTAATTCTGAAAAATCCCCAAATTTAGAACCTTAAGGCCGATTTTCGAGGCAAAGCAGAGAGTGTTGTGGATGCTGGAGTTGAAGCTCGAGGCGAATCTGAGATTGTTGTCTGAGACGGAGTTCAAGCTCCACCGGCGGAAGCGTTTCAGAGCCAGGTGGCAAAGATGGAATTCTAGTTCAACCGAATGTCGGAGACAAAGCTCGTGGCCGGCGTCAAAAACGAAGAAAACGACGTCGATTTGGGGATTTAGGGATTTCGATTAAGCTTAAAACGACGTCGTTTTAGGTAATAGCAGAATCGTTAATGGTTATTATCGGATCTGTTAACGACAGATAACGGCGTGTGGTTTTTGGTCTGGTCAACGAATACTTCATGTTTAAATTGGCCGGTCAACGTTTACTTCATGTTTAAATTGGCCATACAAGAAGTTCACGTATTAAACGGCCATTTTTTGAAAGTTCGGCTATTAAACGACATTTTTCCCATTTTTTTTTTTTTTGTCGTCTAGATTTATTATTAATTGCAAATTTTGAGAACTGTTACATAGACGATTCTACAACTGACAATTCCTTCCGACCCTTATTAGATCTACGACAGACTACACTTCTTTCTTCATAATCTTGATGAATACCTTCAATGATCCATGACCTGGCGACACTTCCTTCTCTGCGTAGAATCTTGGCGAACGGCTATAATTGTACATCGCTGGAGATCTCCTGCACACTTGCCTCTATTAATCTGCAAATTTGTTAATAAATCGCAATATCTAGGTCTCGAACCTCAAACCTCTTGATGTAGAAGCATTAATCAACCATTGGTCAACCAATGGGCTAAGGGGCTTCCACCATTTTTCCCATTTATAAACTCAATATCCTCCTTAAAAAAAAAAGAAAAAAAAACCCTATATATTCCCCGCCAAAATAATAAATTGTTTTTTTTCCCGCCAAAATAATAAATTGTTTTGAGGTGGAAAATCAAGAAAAGAGAGAGAGGACGAAGATTGAAGTTGACGCATTTGAATTTCTTGAACGTATAGTAGTCTGAATCTTTACTTTTCTTCACATTTGACGATTCCTTGTAAGCACCAATCGTCTTGTGGTCTTCAAGTCCTGCAAAAATAAAAGTCACCGGCCGCAAAATGGAAGCAGCCTTAGACGTTGGGATATATAACATGAGAATATGGAGTGGTATACTTACACATGATCTCCTTGCATTATATACTTTGACATTGTCTTGATTGAATTTTAGTATGGTAGATAATTCAACGATGTCAAAACAGGGGTTTGTTTTCAACCTATATGATGCCAATTAGGGATGAGAGAAAATTCAAAGAGAAACACATTTAGAGAGAAAAAAAAAAGAAGAAGGTAGAAGATGAAGTTGCAGGGGGGTGTGTTCTTGGTGGCTATTTTCTTCTTCCTTGGATATACGCAGCTGGTGAAGGGGCAACATCAACCTCGCCCCGATTGCCAAACTAGATGTGGCAACCTCAAAATAGAGTACCCTTTTGGCATTTCTCCAGGCTGTTACTATGACGAATATGATAGTTTCAATGTCACTTGCGACGACGAGAAAGAGAAGCTCTTCATAGGCATCAACGTTGAAGTGGTGAACTTTAATCACAGCGCCCCCCAGCTAAGTGTTCTGTTTAACCGATCCTCTGACTGCGACGACGAGCAGAGAAATGAGACTAATGAAACTTCCATCTGGTATCGGCTAGGTAGTAGTTTCTCTCTCTCCCCCAAGAACAAGTTTACTTTAGTAGGCTGTAACGCTTTAGCACTTCTGAGCACTTTTGGGAAGCAAAACTACTCAACTGGATGCTTGTCATTATGCGATTCTCAACCGGAGGCATATGGAGAATGTAATGGTGTTGGTTGCTGCAGAACAGAGGACTTCTCTGTCCCGTCGGATAGCTATCAATTCCAATATGGCTCAGCTCGCTTGGGGAACCAAACTATTAAATCCGTAGATCTATTTAATACTTCGGTATATCAATTTAATCCTTGCACCTACGCTTTTCTCGTTGAAGATGGTAAGTTTAACTTCAATTCTTCACAAGATCTTAAGAATCTGCGGAATGTCACGAGGTTCCCTGTGGCACTGGATTGGTCTATTGGAAACCAGACATGCGAGCAAGCTGGAAGCACAAACATATGCGGTGGGAACACAAAATGTTTTGATTCTACTCGCGGAAAGGGTTATATCTGCAAATGTAAAGATGGTTACAATGGCAATCCATACCTTTTAGACGGTTGCCAAGGTACTTCATATTCATTTCTTTCTTCTTTCTTTCGAGTGTTAATTGCTTTCCTCATACATACATTTCTTGTTGCATCTTGGGCTATTTTTCCTTGGACCAGACATCAATGAGTGTACAACTCGTAGACATAACTGTTCGGATCCTAGCACCTGTGAAAACACGCTTGGAAGCTTCCTTTGTAAGTGCCCATCTGGTCGTGACTTAAATACCACTACTATGAGCAGCTGCACTGACACACGTAAAGAAGAAGAGCCTAAGTACTTAGGATGGACTATTGTTCATCTTGGTAAGCTCTCTTCACTCGTTTTTGATTCATTTGTTTTCCAGAAAGACTTGGGCCTTATGATCTTTGTTTGTCTGACATGTGATCAGGAACCACCACCGGATTCTTGATCATCCTGCTTACCATTAGCTATATAAAACAGAAAATGAAGCACCGGAAAAACACCGAGCTGCGACAACAATTCTTTGTGCAAAATGGTGGTGGCATGTTGATACAGCGACTCTCAGTAGCAGGGCCATCAAATGATGATGTCAAAATATTTACTGAGGAAGGCATGAAGGAAGCAACTGTTGGTTATGATGAGAGCAGAATCTTGGGCCAGGGAGGCCAAGGAACAGTCTACAAAGGGACACTGCCAAACAACTCCATAGTTGCTATAAAGAAAGCTAGGCTTGGAGACAGTAGCCAAGTAGAGCAGTTCATCAACGAAGTGCTCGTGCTTTCACAAATCAACCATAGGAACGTCGTCAAACTCTTGGGTTGCTGTCTAGAGACTGAAGTTCCTTTGTTGGTCTATGAGTTCATTTCCAGTGGCACTCTATTCGATCACTTGCACGGTTCTATGTATGATTTTTCACTTACATGGGAACACCGCCTGAGGATAGCGATAGAAGTCGCTGGAGCTCTAGCATATCTTCACTCCGCTGCTTCTATTCCAATCATCCATCGCGATATCAAAACTGAAAATATTCTCTTGGATGAAAACTTAACTGCAAAAGTAGCTGACTTTGGCGCTTCAAGGTTGATACCAATGGATAAAGAGCAGCTAACAACTATGGTGCAAGGCACCCTCGGCTATTTAGACCCAGAATACTATACCACAGGGCTTTTGAACGAAAAGAGCGATGTTTATAGCTTTGGGGTAGTCCTCATGGAACTGCTCTCAGGTCAGAAGGCATTGTGCTTTGAACGGCCAGAGAATTCAAAACATTTGGTGAGTTACTTTGTTTTTGCCACGAAAGAGAATAGGTTGCATGAGATTATTGACGACCAAGTGTTGAACGAGAACAATCAGAGGGAAATCCATGAAGCTGCAAGAGTTGCTATTGAATGTACAAGACTGAAGGGAGAAGAAAGGCCAAGGATGAAAGAAGTAGTTGTAGAGCTAGAAACTTTGAGCGTCAAAATAACCAAACATAAGTGGTCGGATCAGTATCCAGAGGAGAATGAACACTTGCTTGGTAGTAACATCGTATCTGCACAAGGCGATACCATTAGCCGTGGTTATGACAACATCAAGAATGTAGCATTGCTTGACATTGAAGCTGGCCGCTGATAAATTTTGTTTGTGAAAAAGTATTGTTTATTTCTATATTGTTTATCTCCTCTTTGTCTTTCTAAACATTTAAAAACAAGAATATCAAAACATGACATTCAACAACATTGAGATCCTTGTAGATCATCCATATATAATCATGTTCACAATTCTCCTATAATTTTGTATGGTAACCAGTAGCCGATTCGGTATTAGAAAATCTAGCTAGAGTTCATAAATATGATTCCATATGACATTAATATATCATTTTGCTTAATTATATAGAAAAAAAAAAACAACTCGAGAAGAAGAAACACTAGAATTTCAAGTAGGCGTCAAAAACAGAGGAGTGTTAAGTATACTATGAATATGAGCCAATACTTGCCGCCATTGTCACTGCTCTTGAGTTTTTTTTTTTTTGTTTCTGTTCGCTTCTAGGGTTTGCTTTTTATACCATCTCAAACCAAACCATATGATTCTTGTTTGTTGATTGATAAACTCAAAAAAAAAAAAAAATGACAGCTTGACCTATTTTCGTTAGTCATCTAAAATTTTAGTATATGCATTTTCTAAATTAACTTATCATTCTTGTTGCACAAGAAATTGCATGATCACATCAAATCTCTGAATTTGTCTTTGTCAAAATATATGATGTTTAGTAATGAGGGTTCCTACTATAACTTCCATATTGAGATTAGTTGACAAGACAATCAAAGTGAGCCACTTATGTTCCCACAAGCCGGAGAAACATGGAGTAATCGGTATTTAACGTCAGTTTGGTACTTATTCAGTTAACACTAGCTACATTTTTACTCGTAAGACTATGTATTTTTTTTTTTTTTTTTTTTTTTGGACAAAACTCGTAAGATTATGTATATGTTTCCTTTCTTATGGAGTAAAAGATCAATCTTGTAATTCATTTCATTTTGCTTCAGAAATAAAGATCTCTTTTATTTAGTTGATAGAATCACCTCTATAAGACCTTTTAAATCTATATGTGTGGTCTGCCAAAGTCTTGAAGAGTAAACAGTGGCATGAGGGAAGAAATGTTGAAACGCTTCAAGGACATATTAGATGATCACTATGATCGATATTTCTTTCTAGTAGGATGGGGTGTATTATTACTAATCTGATCCCAAAAAAGCATATATTAACTTATTTACATGTATGTCATCTTCATCTTTGTTTAATCATCTCATCGTAAAGTGGTATCTACATGTAAAGTTCCTAAACTTCGATTTATGACTAAAAAAATGTCTAAATGTGATATCATAATGTTGAGAAAAAAAAAAAACTCATAATAAAAGAAAAACAGAGCATGTTGTGATCAGGAGTCTTAATTCCTACCTCATCACTATAACTAAGGCAATTTTCATATTTGAATAAGAAATTGTTTTGAGTGTGAAATTAACTGTTAAGAAAAAGAGTAAATTTGCCTTGTAATATCGAGTAAAGAAGAGAGGACCGAGACTGAAGTTGACTAAGAGGGTCTTCACACTGGAAGATTCTTGCAAGTTGCAACTATCAACTGTCTTAATCTTTGAATAGTAATAAAATAAGTGTCACTCTGTTAACAAAACCAACTTGGTTTCCTCACTAACTAACAAGATATCAAGAAAAGACGAGAGGACCGAGACCTATAGTTGTCACTGTTTAACAGAAGCAAACGTGGCTGTTAGGATACTATACAGGAATATGCAGCAGCATACATAAACGTCCTCTTCACGGGTTACATTGGTTGTGCAATTGAATTTTAGTATTCTTGCAATTTCTGGGAAAATGGGAAGGTGGGAAGGGGCCTGCGAAAATGAGTGAAGAGAACATTTCAAGTACAGTGGTTTCTTATAAGAAAAAGGAGATTAGCCAAAAGGCAAATTAAAGAGGAACAAAGTTAGAAAGAGAGAGAGAAGAGAGGTATAAGATGAAGGTGCAGGAGGGTTTGTTCTTGGTGGCTTTTTTCTCCTTTGCGTATGCGCAGCTGGTCAAGGGGCAACATCAACCTCCCGAGGATTGCCAAACTAAATGTGGCAACATCACAATCGAGTACCCTTTTGGCATTTCTTCAGGTTGTTACTATCCCGGGAATGAAAGTTTCAGTATCACCTGTAAGGAAGATAGGCCACATGTCTTAAGCAACATGGAAGTGACAAACTTCAATCACAGCGGCCAGCTACAAGTTCTGCTTAATCGATCCTCTACTTGCTACGACGAGCAAGTAAATGAAACTATTACTGATTACGGATATTTTAAACTGGATGATTTATCTCTTTCCGCCAACAACAAGTTAACTACAATAGGCTGTAACGCCTTCGCACTTCTGGCCACTTTTGGAATGCAAAATTACTCAACTGGATGCATGTCATTATGCGATTCTCCCCCGGAGGCTAATGGAGAATGTGATGGTAGAGGTTGCTGCAGAACGGATGTTTCTGTCCCGTTGGATAGCTATAAATTCCACTTTGTATCAACTAGCTTAACGGACCCGACTTCTGTTCAGCACTTTAATTCTTGCACCTTTGCTTTTCTCGTTGAAGATGATAAGTTTAACTTCAGTTCTTCAGAAGATCTTAAGAATCTGCGAAATGTCACAAGGTTCCCTGTGCTACTAGATTGGTCTATTGGAAGTCAGAGATGCGAGCAAGTTGGAAGCACAAGCATCTGCGGTGGCAACAGCACTTGTTTCGATTCTACTCCTAGAAGCGGGTATATCTGCAGATGCAATGAAGGCTTTGATGGGAATCCATACCTTTCAGCTGGTTGCCAAGGTTCTTCTTTCTTTCATGTTCTGAGTATTAATATTTTTCCCATTACATGTCTTGTTGAATCTTGCGTTCTTTTTCTTTCGGCCAGACGTCAATGAGTGTACTACTAGTAATACTATCCATAGACATAACTGTTCGGACCCCAACACCTGTCGAAACAAGGTTGGAGGCTTCTATTGTAAGTGCCAATCTGGTTATCGCTTAGATACCACCACTATGAGCTGCAAGCGTAAAGAGTTTGGATGGACTACAATTCTTCTTGGTAAGTTTCCCTCACTATTTCTGGACTTGATGTTTCCCAGATCAACTCACTATAATCATCTCTGTGAATCTACGATGTGTGATCAGTAACCACCATCGGCTTATTGGTCATCCTGCTTGGCGTTGGCTGTATACTACAGAGCATGAAGCACCGGAAGGACACCAAGCTCCGACAACAATTCTTCGAGCAAAATGGTGGCGGCATGTTGACACAACGACTCTCAGGAGCAGGGCCGTCAAATGTTGATGTCAAAATCTTTACTGAGGAAGGCATGAAGAAAGCAACCAATGGTTATGATGAGAGCAGGATCCTGGGTCAGGGAGGCCAAGGAACCGTGTACAAAGGGATATTGCCGGACAACTCCATAGTTGCTATAAAGAAAGCTCGGCTTGGAGGAGACAGTAGCCAAGTAGAGCAGTTCATCAACGAAGTGCTCGTGCTTTCACAAATCAACCATAGGAACGTGGTCAAACTCTTGGGCTGTTGTCTAGAGACTGAAGTTCCCTTGTTGGTCTATGAGTTCATCACCAATGGCACCCTTTTCGATCACTTGCATGGTTCCATGTTTGATTCTTTGCTTACATGGGAACACCGTCTGAGGATAGCAATAGAAGTCGCTGGAACTCTTGCTTATCTTCACTCCTCTGCTTCTATTCCAATCATCCATCGGGATGTCAAAACTGCAAATATTCTTCTGGATGAAAACTTAACTGCAAAAGTAGCTGACTTTGGTGCTTCAAGGCTGATACCCATGGATAAAGAGGAGCTCGCAACTATGGTGCAAGGAACTTTAGGTTACCTAGACCCAGAATATTACAACACAGGGTTGCTAAACGAAAAGAGCGATGTTTATAGCTTTGGGGTAGTCCTAATGGAACTACTCTCAGGTCAAAAGGCATTGTGCTTTAAACGGCCACAGTCCTCGAAACATCTGGTGAGTTACTTTGCTTCTGTCACGAACGAAAATAGGTTGCATGAGATTATTGACGGGCAAGTGATGAACGAGGATAATCTGAGGGAGATCCAGGAAGCTGCAAGAATTGCTGCAGAATGTACAAGACTGATGGGAGAAGAAAGGCCAAGGATGAAAGAAGTAGCTGCAAAGCTAGAAGCCTTGAGAGTCAAAACAACCAAACATAAGTGGTCGGATCAGTATCATGAGGAGAATGAACACTTGATTGGTGGTCACATCTTGTCAGCACAAGGCGAAACCAGTAGCAGCATTGGCTATGACAGCATCAAAAATGTAGCAATATTGGACATTGAAACTGGCCGCTGATATTACAAATTCACATGTATCTCTTTTGTTTGTAAGAAAAGAAACCTACTTCTTTGTTGCTTCATTAATAATGCTTTGAAAGAAATTTTATAAATCATCAATAATCATGTTCATAATTCACCTTAGAAACTCTTTTGCAAAATAGCAAAATAGCAAATTACCAATTATCAGTTCATAATTCTAATTCCATATGGCATTGATGTTATACCAATATGGCATCAAAAACAACTCGATAAGAAACACTAAAAAAGTATGCATAACATAGATAAAGTTATGATCATTGACCTGGTTCCTAAATTCTTCATCGTCAATTCTGCTCCTTGAACCATATTGTAAGCTTCGTAAAGTGACGGAGGAGGTTTCTTGAACATGATTGTTGTCGTCACAACCTCAAAGCCTTGGTTCAAACCCATCAAAAACTCGTAACGCTGCTCCTTCTCTCTGGCTTCTTTAGCTCGTTTCGTACTCTCGCAATTGCAACCACCACACTTACACTCCGGTACAGGATCATACTCCGACAGCTCCATCCAAACTTTACTCAGTTTCCCAAAATACTCCGCCACAGAGTCACCACCTTGCCTCGGCGTCGCGAGTCTCCGACGAAGCTGGTAGATCTTCAAATCGACGCATGGAACGAGCCTAAGTCTGAGATTTTCCCACGCTTGATGCGCAGTCTTCGCGTACAACACAGACTTTACAAGCTTTTTGCTCATCAAATTGCGTCGCATCGTTTCCATGGATGATAAAGCGGCGAGGAAGGATCTGGCTGCGGGAGAGTACCGTCGATGAACCCGATTTTGTTCGTGAGTTCGAGGAAAGTGCGAAATCGAAATTTCTAGATGACGTAGTTGTCTTCGGCTTCGCTGAGTTTTTCGATAGAGAAATCGGCGGGATGGTGAATATCTGGAGGGAGGTAATACGATGAATTGGGGTCTGATGTTGGAGATAAGCTCTTGATAGTTTCCGCCATTGTCGTCACTGCTCTGAGCTCTGCTTCTCTAATTCTAGGGATTTGCTTTGTATTTATCCCTTTTGATTTTGACTTTTTTAGTCTAAAATAAGAAATTTGTTTTTCCAAAATGAGTAAGTAAAAAAAAGGTAAGCAGTTGGGCTTAATGGGCCTTACATTTCCCTCCGGAGCCCAAAGCCTCTTGGGATGTTGTGTGGTTCGGGAGTGCGAATCAATAAGATAAAATTACGAAACCCATATGCTTCTTTCCAAAGTTTTGTTGATAGTGATACTAGAGGATGTCAAGAAACATGATTGAAAGTGTAATGTGTATTTCTTTAAAAGACTTTAATGTAAGAGCTTGACAGATTCTTTTTTTTTTTTTAATCAATATTTAAGCGTTGGCTTTTCAACACGAAGCAAACTAGTTTTTTTTATCTTACCACTGATGATTTGCTTTTTCTGACATTTGTATTTCTTTTATTGTTGTTCATATTTTGAGTGTTTTTGCTTAGAAGGTAATATATGCACAAGATTTCCCTGAACTGTATGCTGCAGATAATCATCGAAAAGCTTGTGGATGTCGTTTATCTATGTAGATTAAGCCATTGTGGAATTTTTTGGCAAGCAAATCTTTTGGATAGTGATTGTGGACTCCCGATTTCATTTTCTCTTTTCCTAGAATCTGTAAGAGGCAAGTGATTGTGGTATATATGCCCCAATATGCTGATCTAATCTAACAAATCAATAGTTGTGTAAGCTTACGGATTCTCTCACATGTTTTATTATGATATAGGAAAAGGGTTAATTTGCCTGGAAAACAAGAAAAGTAAGAGACGATAGTGATTGGAGTTATATGGTTGACAAGTCCACTACTTAAACATCTATCTCCCTTGCTTTACATGGACATGGTTTGGTCTCTGTAGTAAATACTAGTACTATAGCAGATTCCTGCAATTATTGGGAAAGTGGGGACAAGTCAACGGAAGCAAGTCAAGAGAACATCTCAAGAATGGAGTGTGTTTTCTTAGCTTTAAAATGCACATGCTTCGGAGAGATGAGGGAAAACTCAAAGAGAGAGAAACCAATTTAGAGAGAAATAAAGAAAGTGAGAGAAATTAAAGAGAGAAGGAGAAGATGAAGTTGCAAGAGGGTCTGATGGTGGCTATTTTCTACCTTGCTTATACGCAGCTAGTCAAGGGGCAACCTCGCAAGGATTGCCAAACTAGATGTGGCGATGTTGCAGTTGAGTACCCTTTTGGCACTTCTCCAGGTTGTTACTATCAAGGAGATGATAGTTTCAATCTTACTTGCAACGAGAAAGAGCTCTTCTTTGGCAACATGCCAGTCATCAACATTTCTCTCAGCGGCCAGCTTCGTGTTCGGCTAGTTAGATCCAAAGTTTGCTACGACAGTCAAGGAAAACAGACTGACTACATGGACCGGAAGACCTCCCTGGGTAATCTAACTCTCTCTGAACACAACAAATTTACTGTAGTAGGTTGTAACAGTTACGCATTTCTCCGCACATCTGGAGTTGAAAAATACTCAACTGGATGCATATCATTGTGTGATTCTGTCCCATCGAAAAAAGGATCATGTTCTGGTGAAGGTTGCTGCCAGACCTCTGTCCCTAGAGGGAGCTATTTTGTCAGAGTAAAACCACATAGCTTTGACAACCATACTACTGTGCATCTGTTTAATCCTTGCACCTACGCCTTTCTCGTTGAAGATGGTAAGTTTGATTTCTATGCTTTGGAAGATCTCAACAATCTCCGGTATGTTACTACGTTCCCTGTAGTACTAGATTGGTCTATTGGAAACGAGACTTGCGAGCAAGTTGTAGGCAGAAACATATGTGGTGGGAACAGTACATGTTTTAATTCTACTCGTGGAACCGGGTATAACTGCAAATGTTTAGAAGGTTTTGAGGGGAATCCATACCTTCCAAACGGTTGTCAAGGTACACTAACTTACTTTCTGTTTTAAACTTCTTTTAATCGTTTACTTCATACATGCTCTTTTTCCTTGGCCAGACATCAATGAGTGTATTAGTAATAGACATAACTGTTCGGAGCCTAGTACCTGTGAAAATATGAGGGGAAGCTTCACTTGTAACTGCCCATCTGGTTACCGCAAAGATTCCCCTAATAGTTGTACTCGTAAAGTCAGGCCTGAATACTTTAGATGGACTCAAATTTTTCTTGGTATGTTCCTATGTTCCCCCCACTGAATCCGTATTCTTTCCTTTCTTAAAAAACTAGCTCTAATTACCTAGGTGTGATGCGATCAGGAACCACCATCGGCTTCTCGGTCATCCTGCTTGGCATTATATGTGTACAACAGAAAATTAGACACCAGAAGGACACCGAGCTCCGACAAAAATTCTTCGAGCAAAACGGTGGTGGCATGTTGATAGAGCGAGTCTCAGGAGCAGGGCCATCAAATGTTGATGTCAAAATCTTCACTGAGGAAGGAATGAAGGAAGCAACTAATGGTTATGATGAGAGCAGAATCCTGGGTCAGGGAGGCCAAGGAACAGTCTACAAAGGGATATTGCCAGACAATTCCATAGTTGCTATAAAGAAAGCTCGGCTTGGAGACTGTAGCCAAGTAGAGCAGTTCATCAACGAAGTGCTCGTGCTTTCACAAATCAACCATAGGAACGTGGTCAAGCTCTTGGGCTGTTGTCTAGAGACTGAAGTTCCCTTGTTGGTCTATGAGTTCATCACCAATGGCACCCTTTTCGATCACTTGCACGGTTCCATGTTTGATTCTTCGCTTACATGGGAACACCGTCTGAGGATAGCAATAGAAATCGCTGGAACTCTTGCATATCTTCACTCCTCTGCTTCTATTCCAATCATCCACAGAGATATCAAGACTGCTAATATTCTCCTAGATGAAAACTTAATTGCAAAAGTAGCCGACTTTGGTGCTTCAAGGCTGATACCGATGGACAAAGAGCAGCTCACAACAATGGTGCAAGGCACTCTAGGTTACTTAGACCCAGAGTACTACAACACAGGGCTTCTGAACGAAAAGAGCGATGTTTACAGCTTCGGGGTAGTCCTAATGGAACTGCTCTCAGGTCAAAAGGCATTGTGCTTCGAAAGACCACAATGCTCAAAACATCTAGTGAGCTGCTTTGCTTCTGCCACAAAAGAGAATAGGTTGCATGAGATTATTGATGGGCAAGTGATGAACGAGGATAATCAGAGGGAGATCCAGGAAGCTGCAAGAATTGCAAATAAGTGTACAAGATTGACGGGAGAAGAAAGGCCAAGGATGAAAGAAGTAGCTGCAGAGTTAGAGGCCTTGAAAGTCAAAACAACTAAACACAAGTGGTCTGATCAGTATCCTGAGACAGGGGAGATTGAACACTTGCTCGGTGTTCAAATCTTATCAACACAAGACGATACCAGTAGCCGTGGTTATGACAGCATCAAGAATGTAGCAATATCGGACATTGAAGCTGGCCGCTGATATTAATGCTCTTGACAAATTCACATGCATCTCTTTTCTTTATATTAAATGAAAACCACTTCTTTGTTGTACCATCAATAATGCTTTGAGAGAATTTTTGTACCATCAATAATCATGTTCATATTTCCCTTTACTTGTTATGCTAACCAGTAACCGATCTGGTTATTGGCAAATTTAAAACTATTGTGCAAAATTTCAGTTCATAAAAATCTAATTCCATATGACATTGATAATAATCTAATGTAGCTTCAAAACAAGTCAATAAGAAACACTAGAATCCCAAAAAAAAGCATAAAGAAACATAGAGAAAAGTTATGATCGTGAACCTGCTTCCTAAATTCTTCATCTCCTGTACCACTTCATCATCGATTCTGCATCTTTGACCATAGCAAAAGCTTCGTGAAGTGACGGAGGAGGTTTCTTGAACATGATTGTTGTCGTCACAGCCTCGAAGCCTTGGTTCAAACCCATCAAAAACTCGTAACGCTGCTCTTTCTCTCTGGCCTCTTTAGCTCGTTTCGTACTCTCGCAATTGCAACCACCGCACTTACACTCCGGTACAGGAGCATACTCTGACAACTCCATCCAAACTTTACTCAGTTTCCCAAAATACTCCTCAACAGAGTCACCACCTTGCCTCAGCGTCGCGAGTCTCCGACGAAGCTGGTAGATCTTCAAATCGACACAAGGAACGAGTCTACGTCTGAGATCTTCCCACATTTTATGCGCCGTTTCCGCGAACATCACAGATTCTAGAAGCTTTTCGGTCATCGAACTCATCAGCCAATACATAACCATTGCGTTGCATTGTTCCCATGGCTGATAGAGCGGCGAGGAAGGGTCTGGCTGCGGGAGAGTACCGTCGATAAACCTGATTTTTTTCGTGATTCGGAGGAAAGAGCGAAATCGAATTTTCCAGATGACGTAGTTGTCTTCGTCTTCGCTGAGTTTTTGGATAGAGAAATCGGAGGGTTGATGAATATCTGGAGGGAGATAATACGGTGAATTGGGGTCTGATGTTGGAGATACGCTGTTGATAGTTTCCGCCATTGTCGTCACTGCTCTGAGCTCTGCTCTCTAAATCCTAGGGCTTGCTTTTTATCCCTTTCGATTTTTGACTTTTTGAGTCTCAGATAAAGAAATAATTTCCCAAAATAAGAAAAATCGCAATATTTTATAAACAGTTGGGCTTAATGGGCCTTGTATTTCCCCTCCCGAGCCCAAAGTTTCAGGGATTACCTTACCAAATTAAAGGACCCCGCGCATCATAGGGATATGATCTTGTTGGTTCAAAGCGTTGAACCTAGTGTCTTCTCCTGACCTGTATCCTGGTTTTCTAGTGCACGAGGTTACAACACTTGGAGGACAAGAAACACGTAACCAGCTTACCACAGCTCCTTATTACCCTGTAACCAAGGGACTTTGCATCAATGGTTCCATCTATTATGGTGCTTGGGCCCCTAGACTTGGAATGGTCCAGTGATTGTGTGTTTTGATGTTAATTCTCTAGTTTTGATTTATAGATACTAGAGGATGTCAAGAAACATGATTAGTCCAAGCAAACATTAGAGCTTCTTTTCCCTTTGGTCAATATGACTTCCCCTGGCACCAACAAGGCTGGTGAAATCATTTTTGCCCCAAAATGACTCCCAGCCATTCTTCAGCCCTTCTTCATTTTCTACTACAATGTAGAAAAGAAGGACATCAGAAGATCGTTAGGCTCCATGGAATTGCAGATGACAAATAGTTTTGTCGCCAATATGGACTCATACACGATATGTGCGTCTCTATCTCACCAGATTTCGTTTCTTTTCCTAGAATCTGGAAGAGGCAAGTGATTGTGATATATATGCTAGTATGCTGATCTACTCCAACAAACCTATACTTGTGTAAGCTTACAAAGGCAAGTGATTGTTGTATATATGCCAGTATGATGATCTAATTAGACATTGAAGTTTGACGCTAATATCAATGTTTTATTACAAAATGACATGTATCTCTTTTGTTTGAGAAAGCCACTTGTTTGTTGAAATCATCAATAATGCTTTGCGAGAATTTTTTTGTAGATCATCAATAATCATGTTCGTAATTCCCATTAGTTGATATGCTAACCAGTAGTCAATAACCAAAGCTTAGAGCTCTTGCGCAAAATTTCAGTTCATGAATCTAATTCCATATGATACTGATATACCATTAACGGTTATAGAAGAAACACTCAAGAAGAAACAACTCAAACTTAAAGAGAGAAAGTATGATCATCGACCTGCTTCATCTAATTCCATATGACATTGATAATATACCAATATGGCTTTAAAAAAAAAAATTCAAAAAGAAACAATAGAATCTAAAACAAAACAAAGAAGAAGAAAAGCATAAAAAGAGAAAAAAACATAGAGAGAAGTTAAAACCATGGACCTGCAATTTCCTAAATTCTTCATCCCCTGTTCCACTTCATGATCGATTCTGAATGCACAACCATCTCATAAGCTTCGTGAACAGACGGAGGATTCTTCTTGTTCATAATTTTCATTCTCACATAGTCAAACTCTTTGTTCAAACCCATCAGAAACGCGTAACGCCGCTCCTTCTCTCTCGCCTCTTTAGCTCGTTTCGTACTCTCGCAACCGCAACCACCGCACTTACACTCCGGCACAGGATGAAACTCTGACAACTCCATCCAAGCTTTACTCAGTTTCCCAAAATACTCCCCCACAGAGTCACCACCTTGCCTCAGCGTCGCGAGACTCTGACGAAGCTCGTAAATCTTAAAATCAACACATGGAACGAATACACGTCTGAGATCTTCCCACGCTTTATGCGCAGTCTCTGCTTGCAACACATAGTTTTGAAGCGTCTCTGTCACGGAATTACTCATCCAGCGCAAAACTATCGCGTTGCATTGTTTCCATGGCTCATAGTTGGGAGAGGAAGGGTCTGGTTTCGCGAGAGTACCGTCGATGAAACCGGTTTTGTTCGTGAAGCGAATGTCGAATGAGATCGAACAATCGCAATTTCCAGATGACGTAGTTGTCTTCGGCTTCGCTGAGTTTATCGAATGTATTGGTGAGTAGGTTGAATTGGTGAAGAAAATCTGGATCGAAATAATAGGGGGTGATTTGGTGTAGGGTGTTGGAGATAAGCTGTTGTTCATTGTCGTCACTGCTCTGAGCTCTGCTTCTCTAGGGGTTTGCTTTGTATTTATCCACTAGATTTTAACCCGCGGTGTACCGCGGGATGATTTAATTTTAAAGTTAGTATAAAAATATTTTGTAAATTGTATCTCCTTATAACATATTTATTTATATTATAGTTTACAATTGTTATTAAGTAACGGTATACCACGAGTCCACGAGATAATTATTAATAAACTGAGGATTTAACCCGTATTAAAGCGGTATATAAATATTGATTCAAATTCGTCCGCCATATAAATTATTTCCGAAATATAACCCGTTCCGTAATTTCTTAACCCGTCCTGTGATTTGTATTAAAAAATAAGGATTAAATCCGTATTGAAGCGGCGGATTAATGATATTCTTTTTATTATTGTTGATTCAAAAACCCGTCCCGCCAAACCCATCCCGCCAAAAAACTCATTTATTTTATTAATGTTCTTATTTATGATATGATTCTGAATCATTGTCTAAATATTTTAATCGATGTAGAACGTTGAACACACATTTTCGTCAATTGGATAATATATGTCCGTTTTTAAAATTTCGAATCACAGTATATGCAGAAAAAAAATTGATTTTTTTTTTTACTTTATGTATTATATGATGATTCAAAATAGTTAAAAACAAATCAAACAAAGATGATAGGAGAATCATAATTATAAATCTTAATCAAATCTTCTAAAAATCTAAATTATTAAATATGGAATATCCGGTGTATGAGTTGGGTTAAATATAACCCGACCCAACAAATTTTTTGTGAATGAATTTTTAAAATGGGTCGGTTATCCGATATACCCGAAAGCTTTTTTACCCACCCGTCACAAAAAGTGCTGCTTTTTTACCCACTAGTGTAGATTTGATTTTGACCTTTTAGTCTACAATAATTAAATCAGATGGGCTTAAATGGGCCTTAGATTTTCTATCCTAAGCCGAAAATTTCAGGGATAGTTCCTCAGTTTTTTTTTTTTTTGGGTCAAAATCATCGCTTGGTTTACATTACAAGCATGAAGTCACACACATGATTCGTGTAATCGTGTATGTTTAATTTTTTTGTGTGAAGCTTTGCTCACTTAAATAAATTGCTCATGCATACCAAAAGAAAAAATACAATGGCTCAGTTGCTAAAATATTAGAATCTAAAGAAAGCATAAAAAGAAAACATAGAGAAAATTTATGATCGGGGATGTGCTTTTAGTCAAATGGTTAAGTCCAAGTTCGATTCCAGTAAGTCGTGTTACCCCGCGTAGTAGGGATTGGCTATGGATCGGGCCTTGTCGATCCAAAGATGTCAAAAAAAAAAAGAGAAAATTTATGATCATTATCAACCTGCGTCCTAAAGTGTTAGCCCGGTCCACTTCATCATCCATTCTACTTCTTCAACCATATCATAGGCTTCTTTAAGAGACAGAGGAAGTTTCTTACTCTTGATTTTTGATTTCTTAATAAGGTCTTTGTTCAAACCCATTAGAAAAGCGTAAAGCTCCTCCTTATCTCTCGCCTCTTTTGCTCGTTTAGTGATCTCGCAATCGCAACCGCGGCACGAACACGCTTTCACAGGATCATACTCCGACAACTCCAGCCAAGCATTGCTCATTTTTTTGAAATATTTCTCTACCGAGTCACCATCTTGCCTCAGCTCCATGATTTTCCTACGGGTCTGGTAGATCTTCGAATCAACGTTCGGGACGAATATACGTCGAAGATGTTCCCACATGTTATGCGCCGTTTCATCAAACGTCACACGTTTACTAAGTTCTTCGGTAATCGAATTCGACATCCAACACATAACCAAAGCGTTGCATCGTTCCCATCGTTTATAAAGCGGCGAGGAAGCGTCCGGCTTCTCAAGTGTACCGTTGACGAACGCGAGTTTGTTCTTGATTCGAAGTAAGCGAGTAAAAGAAAGTTTCCAAATAGCGAAGTTGTCTTCGGCTTGGCTGAGTATAATAGTGGAGCGATGGTATGGATGTTCATCTTTATCGAGATAATAGGGTGAATCGTAATCGAGTGCGTCAGATAGGCTCATACTTTCCGCCATTGTAGCTGCTCTCAAGTTTTGTTTCTAGGGTTTACCTTTTCCCTAAGTCAATCTATAATATACTTTTTTATCAGAGGAAAAAAAGTTTACAACGTTGTCGTTTAGTAAAAGGCTCAAGGAAGCTGATATTTAATGGGCCTTTTAATTTCCCCTTCTGAGCCCAAAAATTTCAGGGACCATGAGATCATTAATCCTCAATTGTTAACAGAAACTGTTCCAAGAAAAATAAAACAAATAGAAGAAACAAACAAACGAAAAAAAAAAAAGAGATTTTGATTTGATTTGAAAGCCATGCACTAATATAACTCTCATGAAAGCATAATTTCGTTAAGGGAAGGGTCCATCTCTTTTACAAGTCTAACAACTTAACCTTTCTGATTAGACTAAGAGTAGGTGAGATTTAGTTTTGTCTGTAATACCATTCTTCTAACGTTTTTTCTAAATATATTTTCCCAGACCAATAATCAAGTGTTTTCTCTCTCTCTCTCTCTCTCTATATATATATATATATATATATATATATATATATATATATATATATATATATATATATATATTCCATTTGGTTATATATTAAACTACGCGTTTTGAAGAAAAATGTACAATTATATAGACTAATGTTCCAGTTCAAGTTTGTACTAAATTCGTAGACGGCTTATTGTTGACATGTTCCTCTTTATCGTCTGAGATTCATGACTAAAGTTGTAACAACACTATCTTTATTCTCTAACATGTACGAGAAACATTAATGTTTGTCTAAATATATATAGTGGCTACTGGCTGATTTCTCTAAATTGGATCCTGAAGAATTAGTACTGGAGCGCATGTCTGCATGCATGAGAAATGGAAGAAAACTAAATTTTTACATTCCGAGAACTATTATTGTTAACTTATTTTTATTTTTATTTTAATAAGAAACTATGTATTAAGCAACTTCTTTTTATTAAGAAACTCTCTTTTATTAATTGGGACAAAGCAAACTTGCACATGAAAAAATCAGAAAGAAACAAGACATAATTAAACTTACAAACATATATGACTACTGATTGCATGCATGAAACATTGATTGATCAACACACATAAGTTTCAAATTTATTACAATAAAAATATAAAAATACTTTGAAAATAATGAGAAAGCTTTATCTGCTTGGATTCTCTCTTTCATCTTTTTTTTCTCTTATTACAATCACCAGTAATGGTTTCGTCTTGTCTTTGTCTTCTTGTGTACATCGTGTTCTCCTGCAAAGTATATAAAATATACAATATAATTATTGACATGCATGATTGTCCACATAGGCTTTTAATTGTTGGTCGTTAACAAGGTGATCAGTAGATGTAAGTACGTATTGGGGAGAGTAATTACCGTGATAGAGAATTCTAATAGTGGTATGGAGGAGGGGGAGATTTGTAGAGGTAAGGATGTTTTTTTCTCCTATCTCCTCCTTTTTTACTTTCACTACTCATATACTTTTTTCTTTATCTCTCTACTTTTTATTATCTTAACTTTCCTTTTAATTCACAACCTTCTTTTCTTTTTCTCCTCCTTTATTTTTTTTTTTATTTATATCTTATCCCATCTATTATTCTTTCTTTTTCTCTTTTTTTTTTTC